TGTTGAGACAGGTGTTTTGAGCGTGGAGGGAGTGAACGGGGAGATTTTCAGAGACAGAGAACTTGGAAATTCCTGGTGTGACCACCTCCCTCAGAGAGCAGATTTTGAGAGCCGAGTCCCCTCCAGCTGCCATTTCCCATCTTCTCTGGTTTAATTTCCAAGGAGAGAGTCAGAGACCAGCTTCCCGGGAAAGGGCTGTGGGGATGCACAGGGCTTGTAGGCTATGTGCCTGGACAGTAACTTTACTTCCGTTTCCCTGTTGTGAAAATAGGCAGATAATACCTAACTCACAACAACAGCTAATGTCGGTTGAGCCCTGCGAGCCATGGGCTCAGCACTGCTCATTTGGGCCAGGTGGTCACTCTGAGCAGATGAAGCACCTTGCACAGGAAGAAGCAGATTCAGGCAGGGTGGGTTCATGCCCCAGGGGACAGAGCGAGGCAGGGACAGCCTGCACGGACCAAGGGGGCTGATGCTGCAGCCTGTGCGTTTTAACCACCACTGGGTATCTCTTGGGATGAAGAATGATAATGATGATGGTGATAATACGATGATCGCTAACATCTCAGTCCTAAAAGTGACCCGATTCTCACGGTACACAGAGCACAGAAGTCGCTCAATAGGTTGCGTTGACTTCCCTCATTTTACTGCGGGCTATTCCATGCCAGGCCCTGTGCTCAGCACTTTATGTGGGTTATCTCACTTAATCCCCACAACACCCTTATGAGATTGAGATTTCTCAGTTTCACAGAGAAGGAAACGCCTCACAACCAGGTTACGTAACACCACCCACGGTGGTGCAAGGGGCGGAGCGTGGGTTTCAGCGGAGTTTCACTGCTTTTGAGCCTCGTGGGTAGCATCGGCCCTGTCTCCCCATTAACCGTGAAATCCATCACTGTTCCCTTTCTTCTCCAGCCTCCCCTGACTACACCCCGTTGCCTCTGTCTCCCTCTTCTCCCCGTTCCTTGGCCTTTCGGTCTGTACGGCAGATGCAGCACCTTATTAGCTGTCCTTGCATCCGCTGATTTTCTGTGGTCCACAGTCTCAGGTCGTGTAACTGCCACATATACTGTCACCTTCCTGCTTTCAGGGCAAGCCTTGACTCCCTGGCCTGCCCCCAGGCTCCTGAAGGCAGAAACAAGGCTTATCCAAACATCTGAGCCCCTGTGGTGCCTGGCACAGGACTGAGCTGTTGTGTCCATACAGTAAATTCTGGCTGCTTGAAAGAGTAGTGAAATAGGGAGCCCAGCCGGTGTGGCTCAGTGGTTGAGCATTGACCCATGAATCAGGAGGTCACTAGCTCGATTCCTGGTCAGGGCACATGCCTGGGTTGCAGGCTCAATCCCCAGCAGGGGGAGTGCAGGAGGCAGTTGATTGATGATGTTTCTCTCTCATCGATGTTTCTCTCTTATCCTCTCCCTTCTTCTCTCTCAAATCAATCTATATATATAAAAGCCTAAGTGACCGTTCGACCGTTCAACTGGTAGCTATGACACGCACTGACCACCAGGGAGCAGATGCTCAAAGCACAGGCATGGAACATGGAACAGACTGATGAATCAGAGGGAAGCGGGGAGAGGGAGGGTGGGAAGAGATTAACCAAAGATCTTACATGCATACTAGAGGCCCAGTGGGGTCTCTCGGCCTGGCCTGTGGGGATCGGGCCGAAACTGGCCGTCCGACATCCCCTGAGGGGTCCCAGATTGGGAGAGGGCACAGGCCAGGCCTAGGGATCCCACCAGTGCACAAATTTGTGCACCAGGCCTCTAGTAAAAACATACTAAAAAAAAAAAAAGAAAAGAAATGGGGGAGAAAAGAAGAGAGCGGAGGGGAGGGTGAGGCAGGGAGGTTCTCCAGGTCACTTTCTGCAGCTGGGCAAGGGGGTGGTGCTTAAAGTCCTTACGAGGGGCCCCAAGCCCCTGAAAGCCCAGCTCTGCCCCTCTCTGCCTCACAGAGATGGGCCATCTTTAATGTCCCGCCCCAGAGCCTGCATGGTGGCTGCTCCTTTTGCCCCCTCCCCCCCCCCCCCCCCCCCCCGCATCTATCTGGTCTCCCTCCAAAGATCTCCTACCGGAAGCTTCCCATGGCCACCTGCCCCTTTACACTTGATCCTGTTGTGGGTTTTTTGGGTTTTTTTTTGCTTGTTTGTTTGGTTTTTGTTAATCCTCACCCAAGGATATTTTTCCATTGATTTTTAGATAGAGTGGAAGGGAGAGGGAGAGACAGAGAGAAAAACATCGATGTGAGAGAGACACATCGATTGGTTGCCTCCCGCACATGCCTGGACCAGGGCCAGGGACCAAGCCTGCAACTGAGGTACCTGCGTGCCCTTGACCAGAATCGAACCCGGGAACCTTCAGTTCTTGGGCCGACGCTCTATCCACTGAGCCAAACCGGCTAGGGTTCCGGTTGTCTTTTTTCTGAATTACAGTGCGTGGCTGAAATGACCATGTCAGTTCACGTCCAGGCTGGGGTGTCTCCCCGGCTGCAGCATGAGGGCCGGCGCTGTCTCGTCCACTCTGCAGCTGGCGCTTATTGATGAGGTTCACCTGTGTGTCGTGTGCTCCGCCCTCCTGGCAAACTTGGGCGATGGTTACTTTTATCATCCCCAGATTTGTTAAAATGAATGAATGAAAGTGTTTGAACAGAACTGAGTTAAGGGAAGGAAGGAGAGCCCATTCCAGTCTCCAAGGTGTGAAAGGTGAAGGGCTCCCCGGAAATGATTCTGTGCAGCAGCCGGAGGCAAAGGCACGTGATGGGTGTGAAATCTAAGGTATGGGAACTATGCGTGTGAAACACCCCTGGGCGGGAAGAACCGGTGGGAGAGGTTCGGCTGAAAGTTTGGACAGTTCTTGGCGCCCAGTCTGGAGAGCCCTTTAGAAAGTTGTCCCTCCCAGCTGGCCCCTGGAGAGCGCAGGGTCGGGCCAGCATCCTGCTGGACGAAAAAGAGGTTACTGTGGGAAGTGTTGGGATCGCTCGGGAAGCACCAGAAACATGAAAGATACGTTCTGCGTTCCTCAGGCTCCAGAGAATCACCACCCAGTGTTAGACTTGGCAGAAGCCTTCCCGTTTCTCCTCTGAGCTGCCTCCTGAGAAAAGACACGCTGTCTGAATGCTGAATGCCCGCCCGCCCGCCATGGCAGCCTGCTCCCGGGCCCTCTCCCACAGCCCATGGAGCTGGGAGCGGGACAGGTGTGCCCGTGTGCCCGGTGTAGGGTGATCTGGCAGGACCTTCCTGTATCCAAGGCGACACTTCCGGGCCCCTTTTCCAGGAGGGCCTGTTGTGAAATATCCTGGAATGTTTGTGTCCCTTCACAGTTGGTAATTAAGCAGAGGCAGAATGAGTTCTCGCTCCGCACCCTCTCTACCCTCCCTCCCTCTCGCCCTTCCAGCCTTTGGGTCATTTGATTTCATATTGGGGTTTTCAGCAGCCCAGGCCATGGAGGTTGGAGCCTGGGATTGCACCGGCCTGGCCACATCTCTTCCCAGCTCACATTCTTGGCGCTTGCCCAAAGGGAAACATTACAAACCAGAGAAGTACCCGCAGTTTCCCAGGGGGCACTGGTTTAAACAGTTCCTCCCTGGCAGGAAGGGGTGTATATGTGTGTGTGTGTGTGTGTGTGTGTGTGCACATGCACGTGTGTATACGTATGTGTGTTTAAATCCCCGTGCAGCTAAAATCGCTTCTCTTCATCCTGTCTGAACGGCACGTCTCTGCACACTGAATAATTCATCTCCCTCTTGGCATTTGTTCCTGAGAGGTTCTCGCTGTCCAGGTTTCTTGTTAAGTTGCATAGTCTCCCAATGGAAGCTTTTCTCTTTTCCATGGAAGAGCTCTGGGCGGCCGGATATCAGCCCCCTGGCTTCCCCCATGATCCCTTTGAAGGGAACCCTGAATATCAAATCAAAGCTGTCCTTTCTCCTCCTGCCCTCCCCTTCTAATTTTGGGTCCTCTTTATTCACTTTATTATTGTTATTTTTTTTAGCCCTCTTAGGCACAATGTCTGCATTTGCTGCAAGTTGGACTCAGCATCTTCCCCCCATCCACATGTCGGTCACATTAGTGATGCTTGTAGCCAACATTATTTCAGCTCTGACTTCTCAGTGGCCGAGGCTGGGACAGTCGTGCGTGGGTCATGCTTTGCTGGAAAAGTGATTGCATTGTTGATGCTTCACTCTGCCCCTCCCCGCTCCTCATGTCACACACAGAGAGCTCAGTGAATCACTTGTGTCGATGACTTTGAAACACTTAGCTGCCTTTTCATTAAGCAGCGTGTGTTACCCACGTGTACTGAATATGCTCCTAGGAAGGTGTAGAAGCTGAAGGTGCCAAGTGGGCCAGAGCTCCATGCCTTGGGCCTGCTGCAGGCTTCCCTGTGGTCCCGCTTGGTCCTCTCTATCTCTGGCGTAGCTGACGCTGCATTCCAGATTGTTCTGAGACTCACAGGGTCTCGTGAATTTTTGTTAGCAAAGCCCAGGTTTGGGAATCAGGCAGTACTTCAGGTTATACTGCGGGGATGGACCAACTCTGTGATGTAGCTTGATGATGCTCTCCAGAGAGGAAATATGTTGTATATGATTTGCTTTCAAGGCCTAGATTTAGCCATTAATAAGTATTTTAATTATAATTAACAAGTGAACATTACAGAAAAATTAATTTTAAAAAGGATAAAAAACTTAAATTTCATTGAAATCTCTGTACCGAGATAACCTTTTAATGTCTATCTTTCTAATTTTTCTTCTACACACATAACACACACACACACACACACACACACACACACTTTTTCGGGCAAAATATACATAATAGTATCCTGTATATCTTCTCTTTCAACAGTTGTCTTTCGAATCGCATCCTTCCATTTTAGCAAATTGAAAGCATCCTTCCATTTTAGCAAAATATAGAACACATTGTTATTTTTTGTTCCTACATATACATGATCGTATGCACTTCAGATACTTATTGAGAGCGAATTGTGGGGGACACAGGGCTCCCTTGCTCAGATGCACCATTGATGAAATTATTTCATCAGTCCCCAGCGAGGAATTTTGAAAGGTGATCATCCTCACACATATTCCGGGCAGCGGTCGGGAAGGGACATAGCCTCTTGGTTTTCTGGGTTGCAAACTGATTGTATAATAAGATTTATATCTCCACAGCCGGGCTGGGGGAGTGCAGGGCGAGGAATGAGCCCGAAGGAGAGGTCTGAGTGTGGTTGGTGCGAGCATGCCTGTTCCCTCACAGCTTACCTGTCCTCAGTGATGGAGTAGCTCACCGTATATGCCTGGGGGGAGAGTTCCTTCAGGGACCCTTTCAAAGATTTGTTGGATGAAATGACGTGGGATGAGCTTTGGCTCTTGGGCATTGGTTCATTCTCCATAAGGAAGAGGGGGCAAACACTGAGAGATGTTGGAGTGGGGGAGACACCCCTGGAAGTGGCCTTCTGTTTCTGAAATCTGAGCAGAGTATGGGGTGGGGCTGGGTGGGCTGCAGGCAGCCTTGCAGGACCAGCACAGGTGTCCCCAAGCGGGCACAGGTGTCCCCAAGCGAAGAGCATTCTTAGCTGAAGAAAGGCCCCATCCATCACCTGTGTGATTTGCCTTGGGGCTCAGGAGATGCATTGAAGATGTCAGCTCTCAAGAGGACCTTTTAGCTCACCGCAGGGGCTCTGGCGACACATTGCCTTGCTTGAAATCCCAGCTTGGTCTTTGACACTGAGAATATTATTTAGTCTTTCTTAGCCTCAGTTTCCCTGTGTGGGAAATGGGGATAATAGTAACTAATGTTGTGTTGTGCACTCATTTGTAGCGGGATCTGTGCTAAATGTTCTTATAAGCATGGCCTTATTTAAGCCAACTGACATCCTGGTGAATGATTATTGTCCCCACTTCACAGATGAATATACTGAGTCTCAGAGAGTTAAGTTGCCAGACTCACACAGCTAATGGAAATGATGCGTATTGAACCCTCATTTAATGGTGATTAGCCTGTTGCATGTCATATATACCTCATCCTCATTGTCTCCTACAATAGAGCAGTAAATTTCCAACTAACAGGACTTTTGAGCCAGAGTGCCATGAATCGGTCAATCGGTATTTGTACAGCCTACCAGACCGTGGATATGCAGAGCTCATAAATGCACCAGGTCTCTCCACCAGGGACCCTTCAGCCTTTCTTTCCCCCATGTATTTTGCTTCAAGTTTGATTTGGAAGGAGATTGCACAGGATAAGAGAGAGGGTGGGGTATTATCAAGGGCGGGGGGAAAAAAAAGGACACATATGTAATACCCTTTGTAATGCTTTAAGCAATAAAAAAAAAAAAAAAAAAGAGGGTGGATTCCTTTGGCTTGAAGGGAAGTTCTTTAAAAAACAACAACAAAAACCACAAAGTTTTTATTGATTTTTTAGAGAGAGAATCATCAATGTGACAGAGAAACATCAATTGGCTGCCTCCTGCATGCCCCCTACTGGATATCAAACCTGCATCTCAGGCATGTGCCCTGACCCCAAATCAAACCTGCGCCTTTTTGGTACATGGGACAAGGCTTAACCAACTGAGCCACCCCAGCCAGGCCTTGGAGAGAAGTTCATGATCAGGATCGTAGACCTCATCGCAGTCATCTTTCTTCCTGTCCCATTGGACCTCAGTTTGCCAGTCTGCAGAAAGACCGGTGAAGCAGTCTCTGGGAGTCTGGAACTGAGAGTGGGTTGGGAGCAGACAGGAAAGGGAGGAAATGGGAATATGTATTTTAGGTAGAGGCAGCAACTCTAGAAACCCAGGAGTTGTCTGGAGGGGCCACTCAGGCGGACGGGTATGTCTAGATTCCTGGCACTCGGGCTGTAATACTTGACTGGCAGTTTGTGGTGTCTTTGTTCCTTTAGTTGGGTGAGTTGCATGTCTGTCTGACTTAGCCACAAGACTGAGTGATTACTGCCACTTCACTCACAGCAGAACGGGGACTTAGTGGGTGGTTATTGTTAAAAGATCAGTTGGGGCTGGATTGTCTCGGGAAGGACAGCAGTGGGCACAGGCATTTGGGAACCAGCTCAGGAGGCAAGAAATACGGCTCTTGGCCAAACTCACAGGGCGGGGGCATCTGCTATTCTAGATGCTGCAGTAAGTCAGGTTTCCAGAGGGGAAGTGGGCATGACACCATGCCATAGAGCTGGGAGGAAGACTGGGGGTGGGACAGGCGAGGGAGTTGCAGGCGGAGAAGCCAGAGAGGGCTGGAGTCCAAGTCCAAAAGCAAGCCTTGACCTTCAAGCCCTTTCCTGCAAACCCTTCGGGTCGAGGTGCAGAACTGGAGGCCCAGAGAAGGAAGGTGACCTGCTCATATGTCTCCCTAGTTAGTGACCAAGTTGGAGCTGGGACACAGATTCCCTAGCTCCTTCCATGTGTTCACCTTCCCGGGACAACAGGGACGGATCTGGTGTTGTTGCCAGGTTTTGGGATCTGTTGGGCCAGTGCCGAGTAGCATGGAGGCCAAGAGTTGCAGGGTTGTGGGGACCGTAGGTTGATGGAGTCTTTCTCCTCTTCCTCCCCAGGTACACCAAACCGCTCACCTTCGCCGACTGCATTAGCGATGAGCTGCCTCTAGGATGGGAAGAGGCGTATGACCCACAGGTTGGAGATTACTTCATAGACCACAACACCAGTAAGTTCCTGGCCATCCTCCCTTCCTCCTCCCCTCTCCCCGATCCTCTACCTCCATGCTCACCTCCTAAGTCTGGAAGAGGCTCTTGAAGCCAAATTGTATTTTGTGGGGGTTTTTTTCCTTCTTTTTAAAAAATATATCTTTATTGATTTAAGAGAGGAAAGGAGAGGGAGAGAGATAAAAACATCAATGATGAAAGAGAGTCATTGATTGGCTGCCTCCTGCACGACCGGGGATCAAGCCCGAAACTCAGGCATGTGCCCTGACTGGGAATTGAACCATGACTTCCCGGTTCACAGGTTGATGCCCAACCACTGAGCTGTATTTTGTTTTATGTACAGTTAGGTAGAGATGTCAGCGTAGGTATAGATAGATAATGTATGCTCAGATAAAATAACAGTTTAGAAGGGTTTTAAGTAGAATCTGAAACTCCCCCTCTCATAACTCATCTCCTCAATTCTACAGAGGCAACCACTGTGTATATATATATATACTAGAGGCCTGATGCACGAAATTGGTGCAAGAGTAGGCCTTCCTTCCCCCAGCTGCCGGCACCGGGTGCAAGAGTAGGCCTTCCTTCCCCCAGCTGCTGGCACCGGCTTCCCTCTGGCACCCGGGACCTGGCCTTGCAGCCTCGGCTTCATCCAGAAGGTCGTCCAGAAGGACGTCTGGTCTAATTAGCATATTACGCTTTTATTATTATAGATATGTCCTTTTTACATATATCAACATATGTGCATACAGACCTTCTTTTCCTCATAAAGGTAGATGTGTCATTGCCAGATCATTTTGGAGCAGCCAGAGCCCCAGCAAGCCCCCAGCAGCGTGCACACATAGGTGTTCATAGGGGTGTGGTGTGAGTGTGTGTCTCTAGCCCATCATATGAATCAGCCCACCCTCACTTCCTGTCTGTGATCCTGGCGTCCTGATGCAGATGAAGATTCCTGGTGTCTTTGTCTCTGGGACTATGATGGAGGAATAGGCTGAGAAAGGGACAAGCATGCTGTCTGACAGGTGGAGGAGCCCTGGTTGTGGTCCCCGAGCCAGGGAGAGTCGAGTATGCCTGGGCTTCATCCATTGTGCACCTTCTTGGCCGGGAGTATTCCTGCCTTCTGAAATTTGCTGCCCCATTTATTCATGTGAGGAAAGAGGATTTTCTGGCTCACTCTCAACCTTGCAAACTGGAGAATTTCCTTGATCCTTTCAGGCAAAAGGAGAATGGAATGAAGTGGGACATGCCTGGCAAAGCTTGAAGGCTGAGAATAGGGCAGCAAATTCTAGCCCATGTACTGAGCGTACACTCTGTGCCAATGCCGGGCAAGGCACTAGCTAGGCAGCATCCCATTTAATCCTCCCAACTACCCTGTGGGGTGTTAGGATGATTATCCCCATCTTAAAAATGGGACTTAGAGGTAGCAATCCATCGCTGAATACTCAGAGCTAAAACATGGCAGAGCTGGGATTTGAACTGCTGCTGGGGAACAGAGGGGTGCTTGTCCATCCACTTCCTCTGGGTTTCAGTAGCACCTGGCCATACCTTTGTCGTGCCCCTCGTCACTCTGTAGCATAGCCACTTACCTAGTGTTGCAGGTTCTCCTAGATAAGGCACGTAGTGAGGAGAAAAGGGCATACATGCCTGAGTGCGTGACGAAAGGATGAATGAGCGGACCGCTCCTGGCACCGAAGGGTAGAAGAGTTTCTGAGAGACAGCTAATGACATTAATTGCATTGTTGGGGGTAGCAGAGCTCTTTATTAGCGCTCATGATTGCATACTGGATAATGAGAAGTAAATATGCCTAATTGGGTGTGCATGGGGAATGAGGTTAATGCTGGGAGGGCTGCGTGGCGTGCTGGGTTAAACACTGATGCGCAGGAGCCCTCATCAGGCCTTTCCTGTTTCTAATTGCTGAGTGCATCCCCCTCATTAAAACCTGATGGCAGGAGTGGGATTTTAAGGTGCTTCTGGGAGACGTTGGAAAAAGGAAGGAAGGAAGGAGTAGCAGGCCGTGGCAGAGTTTATTCTTGAGGGGATGATGGCAGAAATGAGGTGGGTGTATGGGGGGATGGGAGTACATAGGGGCCAGAATAGGGAGAATTCTCTATGGTAGTTTTACCGGCTATCAGGCTACTGGTTTCCTTTTGGTGTGAAGGTGCTCTCATAGGATAGAGGGCACCACCTCTGTAGATGGAGCCCGTGATGCCAGTGACATGAATATGACCATCGAGACCCAAGCATTCAGACCCGTGGACTCGGAGGTCAATGACTGAAATTGCTCTCTTAAGAGTTATAGACATGTTAGAATTGAACAACAAATTACATCTACCACCCGACATTCATTCATTCAGCAAGTATTCACCTACCACCTGCAATGTTCCAGGCTCTGTCCTGGGAGCTTGAGACACGTAAGAGTCCCTGGCAATGATCCTTGCCCTTGTAGAGCTTTCATTTCGGCAAAAGAGAAAATAAACAGAATAAATAAGCAGATTAGGTAATGTACTAGACAATTATCAGCATTATGGGAAAAAGAAAGCAGAGCATGAGGCTAATGTACTGGGTGTGTTTGAGGATGACGGGGCAAGGACAGGGAAGGACTTGTTGAGAAAATGAGAAGTGAGCTAAGACTTTAAGGAGTGAGGGAGCATTTCAAGTAGAGAGCATAGAGCAAAAACTAAGGTGCAGTCACACTTAGGTATGGGAGGGAGGCAGAATGAGTGAGGGAAAGGGGGAAGGGCATCAGACCAGAGATAGATGGGGCGGTGGTCCATTTGCCTTACTCTTCTGGCTTTTACTCCCGTGTGAGATGGGAGCCATTGGAGAGTTTTCAGCAGATGAGTGGCAAGTTCTGCTCTATGTCTTAAAAGGGTCACTCTGGCTGCTGTGCTACCAATAGACCTTTGTGGGTAAGGACAGAAGCAGGGAGACCTGTGAGAGACAGTTGCAGCAGTCCAGGTGACAGTGGTCAGTGTCCCAGAGCAGAGCCATAGCCGTGGAAGTGGTGAAAAGTGTCCAGATGCTGGATGTATTTTCAAGGCAGAACCCACAGGACTTCCTGATAGATTGTATATGGGATGTGGAAGAAAGAGGAATGAATGACTCTCATTGGACCTCAGCAACTGGCACCATGGAGTTGCCATCAATGGGATGGAGAAAACTGCAGGAGGAGTGGGTTTAGGAAGGAGGAACAAGGGTTCTTTGGGGCATGTTGAGTCTTCCATGCCTCTTACACGTCTGAGAGATGATGCTGGCCAGCTTGCTGTAGGAATCTGGAGCTTGGAAAGAGATCGGGGCTGAAGATACGTGCACGGGAGTTGTTGGCTATAGATAGTATTTCAAGACATGAAGCCGGATGAGATTACCAAAGGGAAATAGCAAGACTGAAAAAGACCAAGGAATGAGCCAGGGGGTCCTCAGATAGTGAGAGGGTGCGGAGAAGAGGAAAACAAGTGATTCTGAGGAGTGACCAGAAAGGTTTGAGGAAACCCGAGGGTCTGGGCACCACGGGAAGGAAGTGTATCAAGGCGGGGGGCGGGGGGGGGGTGTTGTCAGCCCTGTCAGGTCAACGATGAAGAGGCCTCAGAGTTGACCACTAGCTTTAATAATCCAGGAGACACTGGTGACCCTGACTGTGGAGGGCAGCTTTGGACAAGGACTGGGGGGCAAAATTCGTGAGTCTGGGAGGAAAATGGAGGAGAAGAACTAGAAACAGCACATACAGACAGTTCTTTCCAATTATCACCCGTTCTCGCCCTAGCTGGTTTGGCTCAGTAGATAGAGCGTCAGCCCTCGGACTGAAGGGTCCTGGGTTCCATTCCAGTCAAGGGCACATACCTCGGTCGCAGGCCCGGTTCCCGGCCCTGGTCAGGGCGAGTGTGGGAGGCAACCAATTGATCTGTCTCTCTCACATCAGTGTTTCTCTGTCTCTCCCCTTCCCTTCCACTCTCTAAAAATCAGTGGGAAAAAAATATCCTCTGGTGAGGATTAACAAAAGAACAAAAAACAAATTATAACCCGTTCTTATTATTTCATATGTCAGTATTCCCATTTACATTCATCACGGTTAGAGGGTTTGATTGGCGATCACATCATGTGTTCTGCGAAGCAATGTATGTATAACGGAACCAATTTTATCATAGGCTAATGTTATACAGGAGTTAAGTTCCTAGGGCTGCTCTTCAACATTATGTGAAATGACAGTGAACGAAAAGACGTGATTTGAGGACCTGCTGCACGTGTCCTGGGACAGGGTTGAGGCTTTGATTCTGTTTTTTGAAGCTCCTCGGCTGATTCTTATATGCTGCGGGGACTCAGAATTACTGGATGAAGCACGAACTTTTTTTTTTTAATAATAATTTATTCTTGAAAGTATTACATATGTCCCCCTTTTTCCCCATTGACCCCCTCCAGCCCGCTCAACTTCTTTTTTTCCCCCCCAGCAATTTTGCTGAGAATTGGAGGTGGGGGGAAGGCACTCTCATGGGCTTTTTGTGAGAATAAAAATTGGTACAGTCTTTGAAGGTAATTTGGTACTTTTACTATTGTAAACGTGTTTATTCTCTGAGCCAGTAGTTCCTCTTTTAGGAACTCTACCCTACACAATTAATAGACAAGTTCACAGAAGTATGTTTGTAAGAATCCTCACTGCAGCATTGACTGTGGTGGAATTGAGAACAATTCAGAAGTTTCCCATGAGTGGTCTGGGGAACCACTAGTACCCTACCATAAAGAAACCTAATGCCATACCATGGAATACTGTGCTGTCCTTTAAACAATTGAGGTAAGTGAAAAATATAAGCAGTAATACAACTAAAAAAATTATTAAAAATTGAGGTTAATCTTTATACACTTACTAGGAAGGGTGAAAAGCTTGCAGACCAATATATATGATGCAGGACCACGTTGCATTAAAAATAAGTTTGTGACCCCAGCTGGTTCGGCTGAGTGGATAGAGCATTGGCCTTCGGACTGAAGGGTCCTGGGTTCCATTCGGGTCAAGGGCACATGCCCGGTTATGGGATCCCCAGTAGGGGTGTGCAGGAGGTATTCTCTCTCATCATTGATATTTCTCCCTCTCCCTTCCTCTCTGAAATCAAGAAAAACATATTTAAACAAAAAACAAATAAGTTTGTGTATATATACACATATATAAAAACAAATTTGTAGATAAGTAGGGGACAATATCTGCAAGTGTGTGAGCTCTTAAGAGCAGTTACCTCTGGGGAGCAGGATTAGAGAGACGGGAACTCTCACTTCTTATTTTATAAATTTGCAATTGAGGGAATTATTGATCAAAGGGTTAACATTTCCTTTGTTTTATTTTGTAGTATATTTTCAAAAAATATAAATTTTAAAAAGTTACAAACTTTAAAAACAATATTCAGCCTGATCCTGACAGGCCAAGTTTCCTTTGAAAAGTAATAGAGTTCTTTGGGCAAAGTAAAACCGGTCTGCAGGCTGGGTTCACCACCTGGCCATGACTATAGAATTTCTGGTGTGTCAGTCACCCCTGACTCCACCCCCCAACTGGGAAATGACAGAGGAGTGGATTGTCAATGGGCATTGGCTCTTTGACATTGCTTTGACCTCTTCTACATCTGTTCAGCTGCCAGCTATCCCTTTTTATTTTTTTAATTATTGTCTTTTAGTCAGATTGCCACTGTACATATTTATTGTACACATAATTTAAAAAATAAATGAAATCACTTGATAATTTGCTAAGTGTCCTCTTAATATTTTGGAGAATGTCTATATTTATTTTGATAAACACAGAATTATTTATGAAGTTTGCACACTGTATTGTCACTCACCTTTATGTCATAAGCACCTTTCCATTTTATTAATTTTTTTCAAGGACCTTTTTTTTAATGGCTGTATTAGTGTATCATGTAAATATAACATACTTATTTGAGCATTTATTTTCTGTTTGACCTTGAGCAAGTTACTTAACCTCTCTCTGTTTTCTCTTTTGTATGATGAGGGCAGTAATAGAATCCCCTTTATAGAGGTAGTGTAAGGATTGAACGAATAAATAGATATAAAGTAATTAGGATAGTGCTTGGTATAGAATAAATATCAAATAAGTGCTCGTTGTTTATTTTTGATATTATCATGGTTTTGTACAAAAGCATCTTTGCTTTAATTTCTTATATTACTTATTATTGTAATGAGTTACTATAAGGGGAATTATTGGTCAAAGGGTTAACATTTTAAGGCTCTTAATGTACATGGCCAGATAGCCCTCTAGTTAAGGCTCTTCTAAGTTACATTTCTAGTAGAGTATGGGGGTTCCTATTTCTTCATATCCTCTGAAGTATTATTTATTTTGCTTTACTTTGCTCTTTACCAAAACAGATGACCATAAGCATCTATAATGTCCTTGAGCCTCTGTCTAGATTAGAACTCAATTCTGGTCTTTCTCCTAGCCATGCTCAGACAGATTGACTTTGGGTTTGGAAATTGATCCTGGTTTATTTTGTGTTTGTTTGCTTCAAAGTGAAGAGCCTTTGTTGTATAACAGGTAAGTAAGTTTTAACCCATTCATATTTATTGTGGTTTGCTATTCATTATGCTTCTTGTTTTCTGGTAGTGGATGCCGCAGACCACCAACCCAACAGATACTTGTGAGGTGCTGACCTAGAGTCTCTGGGGTCTGTTCCAGAAACCACTCAGATCGAGGACCCCCGGGTGCAATGGCGGCGGGAGCAGGAGCACATGCTGAAGGATTACCTGGTGGTGGCCCAGGAGGCCCTGAGTGCACAGAAGGAGATCTACCAGGTGAAGCGGCAGCGTCTGGAGCTTGCACAGCAGGAGTATCAGCAGCTGCATGCCGTCTGGGAGCACAAGCTGGGCTCCCAGGTCAGCTGTGAGTACCCCCCCTCCCCACCACCACCAGGGCCCACCCTCCACCACCACAAAGCAGGGAGGGATTGGCTGCCCCAAGTCCTAGCTGTACTGCCTTGCAGATCTGCCCACTTTCCTCCTTCTCCACTCCTTATGCAAACCATCTCTTCCTGTGCCCTCCCGTGATTCATTTGCCATTTTCCTTCCATTTTCTGTCATTCGTCATCATCTCAGAATGCCAGCCAGTTTACATTATCTCCTTGTTCACAACCCTTCAGTGGCTGGAGAAGTGATGGATGGAGAGTTAGTGTTTAATGGCTCTGGAGTTTAAGATTGGGAAGATGAAAAAGTTCTGGAGATGGATGGTGGTGATGCTTGGACAATGTGAATGTACACTTAAAGGTGGTTAAAGTGGTAAATTTTATGTTAAATATATATTTTACCACATTTAAAAAATATATATGTTTTTATTGATTTGAGAGATGGAGAGAGAGAGAAAAATATTGATGACAGAGAAACATTCATCCGCTGTCTCCTGCACGCCCCCTACTGGGAATCAAACTGGCAACCTCTTGGTGCCTGGGACAACTAAGCCACATCAGCCAGGGCTATTTTACCACAGTTAAAAAAAAAAAATCTTCAGTGACTTCTCATTGCTCTTTTCATGGCCTATACAGTGATCAGGCCCCTGCCAGCCATGCCCACCCCATCTCATGCTGTCAGTCATTAGGCTCACCCTCTGCTCCGGTAGTCTGCCCTGCAACTTTTCCCCTCATCCTTGCTGTTCCCCGGCTTAGAATGTTTTTCTGTTGATCCTTTGCACAACTGGTTCCTTCTCATCCTTCCAGTTTTATCCTTCATTACCTCTGAGAGGCTCATTGTAACAACTCCATCAGCAGACTCCCCTCCCCAAAGTTAGCCCAGCCCCAGTAGTGCTCTTCATTGCATGTATCACAATATATCTGCTTATTTGTCTGTCTGCATTTCCGTATTTGTCTGCCAGGGTTTTTCAACCTCAATACTACTGACACTTTGGGCCAGATAAGTCTTCCTTGTAGGGGCCTATATATTGTGCACCTTTAGCAGCATCCCTGGTCTCTACCCACTGATGCCAGAAGTAACCCCCACCCCAAGTTGTGACAACTAAAAATGTCTCCAGACATTGCCAAATGTGTCCTCTGGGGCAAAATTCTCCCAGCTGAAAACCACTGGTCTAGGTGACATGATTACCTTAGAACATCTTAATGGCTGAATAAATACTATTTTTGGTAGGAAACACTTTCCATAATGTCTTGAGAGTATGGAATCTGGAGCTGGACCGCCCAGGTCCAAATCCAGGATATGCAACTTACTAGCTGTGTGACCTCACACAAGTTATGCCACTTCCCTCTGCCTCAGATTCTTCATGTGTAAGTGGACATAATAACAGTATCACCTTCAGCTATGGGGCTGAAAGTAGTTAACAAATGTCAAGTGCTTGGAATAGTACCTGTCATGTTCTTAAGCTCTCAGATAATCACAGTTATTATTTGATATTATTAATTCATTGACATGACAAAAATTTTGAACAGATCCTTGGAACCAGTAAGATTGAACTCATGATCATTGGTAGGAAGTTAATGATGCAGTCCTATCATGTGACTTCCGGGTGTTCCTGAGAGCACCATCAGGCTCAAAGACACCACTGTTTTGAATGTTAAAGAACTTCAACCTGGCCCTTGCCGGTGTTTCTCAGTGGTTAGACCACTGGCCCTTGAACCAAAAGGTTGTGGGTTCGATTCTAGGACACCTGGGTTGCATTGGAGAGGCAACTAATTGATGTGGTTCCCTCACATCGATGTTTTTCTCTCTCTCTCTCTTACTCTCTCTTTCTCTTCCTCTCCCCCCCCCCTCCACTCTCTCTAAAACAAATGGAAAAAATACCCTACAGTGAGGATTCACACACACACACACACACACACACACACACACACAGAACTTATATTATATTTGAAGGGACTAGGGTCATCTCAGGTAACCTGATCAGAGATCCAAACCAGCCAGGAACTGGGGCATCCCCCAGCCCAAGCGTCCCCAGTTAAAAGAGGTGGCCCAAGCCTCCTCATGACTGTCTTTGGGTTTTACAAGCCAGGTTTGCCTTCTAAGTCCAGCTCTTGAGCACGTCGATAGACCGGTGAGGCCACATGCCTGGCTTCTAACGCAGATGGCATGCCAGGGCCTGTGAGAGTTTTGCCACCTGCCCTTGGTTGTTGTGGGCCCTGCCCTGGGGATGGAGACTTTGTTCTCACCCCTGCCACAATCCCTAGCTCAATGGAGAAGGAGACGAGAACTACCGTTTAGTGTGTACCTGCTGTATTCCTGCAGGGCAGTGTGCTGGGGGCACTCTACATGTGTCATTTAAAGTAACCTCCCTCCCCACTTGCACACACACATAGACACGTACAGTCCTGCAAGATGCTGCTGTTCTCATGCTACAGGTAAAGAAACTGAGGCCCAGAAAAGGGAAGTCATTTCCTCCTGGTCACATTGGTAAAAAGGGATAGAGCTAGCCTTTATACCCGGGGGCATCTGACCTCAAAACCAATTCTCTTCATTTAATGCACGTCAGCCAGTCAGCTTCCAAGGTTCTTGCATTACACTGGGGTCCTCCCGTCCCCTGAAAGGTGAGAACTTAGAAGAGCTGGGTTCTTTTGGACCTCACCGTGTTCCTTCCTCACTACAGGTTAGAGGAAATTTGAAAAATAAATTATTGGGAGCCTTACAGTTAAAAATGCCAGTTGAACTACCCACCTGATTTCACTGGCTCCTGAAACTAGGAAAAGATCAGAAAAAAGATCTTTAAAAGCATGCACACGTAGGGACAAGGAGACTTGGAGAACAAAGTAACAATACAGGGTTTGGCCAAAGTAAATTTACAGTTGTATGTGAAAAACTGAACTTATTCTTATGTTATTACTTATGAATTATTTTCTATATAAGCAACTGTAAACCTACTTCTGCCCACCCTGTATAATGTGGAAGCTGGAAGGCAGAGGGACAGGTGACAACCTATCTGGTAGACAGACCTATCTGAGAAAAGAAAAAAATGGGCTGGTAATGGAAACAACAACAACACTATAATCTGTAAAGAACACCTGCAGTCCTAGCTGGTCTGGCTCAGTGGATAGAGCATCGGCCTGCAGACTGAATGGCCCCAGGTTCAATTCCGGTCAACGGCACAAGCCTGGGTTGTGGGCCGGATCCTCAGTAGGGGGTGTGCAGGAGGCAGCCAATCAATGATTCTCATTATTGATGTTTCTATCTCTCTCTCCCTCTCCCTTCCTCTGTGGAATCAATAAAAAAATATATTTTAAAAACACCTGCAGAAGCCTTGTGAATTGGGAGAAGCACCTATTTCTGGGAGTGGAATTGGGAATGAAGTGAGGAGGGTCTCGCCAAAACTGGTTTGGCTCAGTGGATAGAGCGTCGGCCTGCGGACTGAAGGGTCCCAGGTTCGATTCCGGTCAGGGGCATGTACCTGGGTTGTGGGCACATCCCCAGTAGGGGATGTGCAGGAGGCAGCTGATCGATGTTTCTCTCTCTCATCGATGTTTCTAACTCTCTATCTCTCTCCCTTCCTCTCTGTAAAAAATCAATAAAATATATTTTTAAAAAAAAAGTGAGGAGGGTCTTAAGTAAGAGGATTGGATGAAAGTTGCTTCTGAAACAGACCACCTGATCTCCTCCCCAAATTGGTAACTGCCCAGCCCCAACATGCAAAAGACGGGAGGTTTATTTTTTGGAGAGAACAAAAGAGAGTTTGGACTGCAGGACACAAGGCAGGTTCACTGCGGGGCCGCACCAGACTGGACACGTGGTGATTAAGGGAACATCGACAGGCAGGATTTTGAGACCCCAGCCCCCAGGTACCGCTCGGTTCCCAGACTGGTGCCAGGCCATTGCCTCCCAGGCTGGACAGTAGAAGAGTCTGGGGAAAGCTGAACAGAGAAAAGAGATAAAAAGAGAAAAGATGTAAAGATACTGACATTGAGGATTCCTGGATGAAGCAGTACAGCCAGATCACGTACCCCGTCATCCAGTCAACAAGCTCCAATCCAGCCAGCTTTTAGGGCCCCCACCCTTAGATGTGAGCCGGCAGCTGAGATCCAGATGCCCGAGGGAAGCCTCGAATGGGAAAAATAAGAGATTAAAACAAACACATGGCGATGGGAAGGCCTTGGAGGGAACAGGGAGTGTGCATGGAGAAGAAAGCTACACAACCATGAAACACGAACAGGATGCTGCCTTTTATAAAAGGGACCCACAGAGAACACAAAGGAGCCTTTGGCAATTAAAATACTTTGGAAGAAATGAAAATATCTGAAGGAAGACTAGAAAGTAAAATGGAGGAACTCTTCTGAAAAGCAAAACGAAAAAACAATGAGATGAAAAATAAGGGGACAATATAAAGCACCAGGCCAGGAAAACTGAGTAATAGAAGTTCAGAAAGAGCAGAGGAAATGGGGAAAGAAGCATCAATGAAATTATTCAGAACAAGTTCTCAGAACAAATGGAGGAGAGTTTTTAGATTGAAAGGGTTCAGGGAGTGCCCAACACAACGGATCAAAGTCAACCACACCAAGTCATACTATTGTGCAACTTAAACACTGGGAACAATTCAAGATCCTAAAAGTTTTCCGAGAGAAAACCAGGTCCTAGAAAAATGATTAGGACTCAGAATAGCTCTGGGCTTCTGAATGGATGGTGACCCTGGAAACCTAAAAGAATGGTAGAGCAATGCCTTGAAAAATTTAAGGACAGTCATTTCCGACCTAGAATTTTATATCCAGCAAAACTACTTATAAACTAGTGTAGGAGAGAATGAAGGTATTTTTAGAGATGCAAGATTTCAAAAAATTTACTTCCGTCTCATTTTGGTGTCCTGCCAAAATGAGGGGCTAGGCCCCAGAGGGGAAGGCATGGTATTTAGGAAAGAAGAGAGTGGCAAGGAGGGGATCCCAGGATGCCACCTGTGCACGGAGAGCAAGCAGCTCACTCTGAAGCCGGCACATGCCTTGGAAGACAGAGCTAAAAAGAGGAATGGGGTGCACTGGCCTGGACTCTGTGAGAGGAGATTTAGATAACTGGCAGAGTGTGAGGTTGAACCAGTGATAAGTTTGTAGGCAGTCATAAAAATGACAATTATTAACTCTAGAAAAAATAAATGTGCTGGAAAGAAAAAGTGAGCATCGTCGGCTACGTGCTTCAGCCCCGAATAGTGTTTACAGAGTAAAAGTAATGCAAACACTGAAGCTTGCTTCCACCCAAACGATGTGTGGCATAGGGGCTGCGAAAGGGAGGAACCTAAGCCTCTAGCCCCCAGAGCAGCGGTTCTCAACCTGTGGGTCGCGACCCCTTTGGCAGTCGGACGACCCTTTCACAGGGGTCACCTAAGACCGTCCTGCATATCAGATATTTACATGACGATTCATAACAGTAGCAGCATTACAGTTATGAAGTAGCAACAAAAATAATCTTATGGTTGGGTCACAACATGAGGAATTGTATTTAAAGGGCCAGAAGGTTGAGAGCCACTGCTCCAGAGAGACAAGTTTAAAAATAACGCCTAACACTGAAAAAATCTAGAAGCAGCAAAACACACATATTGTTAAACACAAGAAACTGGCTGAACACGTTTAAATGGTTCTCTTTTAGGGAGTGAGATATCGGGATAGGGTTCTATGAAATGCATATATATATTTATATACATATATATGTATTTATATGTAGCAAAACCTGTACTGTGTTGGACCATTAAACTGTGTTCATATACAGGATGGGGCAAAAAAGTAGATTTATATTTGTGAGTACATGAAACAGTTCTTGTATTATTATTTTTATTATATTTATTTTTTGTTTTGTTTGTAAATTAAATATATTTTTTATTGATTTCAGAGACGAAGGGAGAGGGACAGGGAGATAGAAACATCAATGATGAGAGAGAATCATCAATCAGCTGCCTCCTGACACCCCATACTGGGAATCGAGCCGCAACATGGGCATGTGCCCCGACTGGAATTGAACTGTGACCTCCAGGTTCATAGGTTGATGCTCAGCCACTGAGCCACGCGGCTGGGCTTATTATTTTTTAAAAATATATGTTGTTATTGATTTTAGAGAAAGGAAAGGGAGAGGAAGAGAGAAATATCTATTGGCTGCCTCCTGCATGCACCCTATTGGGGATTGAACCCCCAACCTGGGCATGTGCCCTGACTGGGAATCGAGCCATGACCTCCTGGAACCGTGACCTCTGGGAATCGAACCAGTGGGACTAGGCTCAACCAACTGAGCCACACTGGCCAGGGCTCTTGTATTATTATTTATTAATTATTACATTATTTTTCATAGGAACAACTGTAAACCTACTTTTGAGACTTGAAAGCTGGTCTCTAAGGTCCTGTTGAAATATAAAATCCTTTTTTTTTTGTTTGTTTTTTTTAAAATATTTTTTATTGATTTTTTACAGAGAGGAAGGGAGAAAGAGAGTTAGAAACATCGATGAGAGAGAAACATCGATCAGCCGCCTCCTGCACATCTCCTACTGGGGATGTGCCCGAAACCCAGGTACATGCCCTTGACCGGAATTGAACCCGGGACCTTTCAGTCCGCAGGCCGACGCTCTATCCACTGAGCCAAACCGGTTTCGGCTAAAATCCTTTTTGTTGGAGGGTTAGTGAGGGGACACGAACACAAAGGGGAAGCTGACAGCCTCTTTCTTAATTGGGTACTTAGTTACTTTTTGGTGTATTTCTTTCTGGTCTTTCTAGATGTAGCATGTGTGTATTTGTTTACTGTGTATTTTTTCCTAATTTGTTATTCTTTTTTTATAGTTTTTTATAAACTATTGTTTTTACATAACAATAAATTTTAGACATTTTTCCTTGTTCTGTATCCTTCTGCTCCATCATTTTATTTATTTATTTAAATGTATCTTTATTGTTGAATGATTACAGATGTCCCTCCCCCCCCCCTTTACCCCCTTCAACCCCCGTGCCCCATCCCCCTGGCCTACCGCACTATTGTCTCTGCTCCATCATTTTAAATCACATACGTTGTATAGTCCCCATTTCATGCATGTACCATATTTATTTAACATACCCCACATGGTTGGGCATTTAGGTTATTCACGAATACTCATTCCTTTCTGGGTTTATTTAGATGGTCAAATAAGCCAATTTTTCCAAAGTGTGTTTCTTCTACAGAACCTGTTTTTTGTTCTTTTTCATTGCAGTGGTCTCTGGTTCGTCGTCCAGCTCTAAGTATGACCCTGAGATCCTGAAAGCTGAAATTGCCACTGCAAAGTCCCGGGTAGGGCCTCTTGGTCTGTGCTGTTGATGGGGGTCACGGAGGCAGCCTTAGGTTACTAGCCCACCTGTGAGACAGAGTGGATGCTCTGACCAGGCAGGGGCCGCCAGTGCCGACTCACAGGCCCTGAATAGTAACAGTAGTAGCAGCAGTAGGTTGTCGTCATAGTAACGGTAGTGGTAACAGCAGCCACCCTGTCGCTAGCACTCCCTGTATGCAAGGCGCAGTGCTGAGAGCTTCATGTGTAATTCCTCATGTCCTCATGACAGCCCCGTGAAGCAGCTCCTGTCAAGATCTGCATTTAAAGATGAGCAAGCAGAGGCGTAGGGGGGACGTTATCTTGCTCAGGGCCACAGGGACGCGGGTGTACTCCAGGGTTCGTGGTGTAGTGCGCTGTCTTGGCTACTGCTAGCCCTGCGTGATCCTATTTAACTACTTCGTGGTACCTTTTACTGATGGGGAAACTGAGGCCCAGCATGGTGCTCAAGGTAAAGCCAGTATTTTGAACACTGGTTTAATTCAGTTTCAGATAGGTTCTACAAACTCAGATGCCTGTAAGAAAACATAAAAGGGAGGAGATGCAGGGGGAGGCAGTAGGAAGCAGTGGGGACTGTGACCTAGAGAGGTGAGCCCTGTCTACCAGGGTAGCTGAATTTCAGCTCTAGCCTACTGTGGCCATGCATGAATGTGGGCTCGGTGTTGGCAGATCTTCTAGTATTTTCAGAGAACTCTATATCTAGGCTTAGTATGTGAAATTTCTCAATATTTAATTATTAGCAACCAATTTTTTAAAACTTAATAACACGGCAGGCCAAACAAAAGCATTCCTGCTGGCCGGATCTGGCTCCCGGGCCAAGTCTCCCCCTGAAGTTATTGCATTTCTTTTTGCATCCATGCACAGCACTCCCATGCCCAGGACCTGCTTTCAGTAACTCGCGGCTCTGGGAATTGCCATCATCCACCAGAACAGGAAAGGGAGGCTCAGAGAGGCGCCATGGCTTGAGAGAGGTCACCCAGCCGGGCAGGGGGAAGGCCAGGCCCTATCCCATCAGCCAGCTCCTGTCCACTTCCTGTTTCCCTGGAGCGAGGGCTGGCTGTGGATGACCCGCAGGGCAACCAGGCTGGGATGCCGACTGAATGGGCAGCTGCAGAGACCAAGGCAGCACTGGGGTATTGTGACCACGGTGACCCAAGGGTTGTTGATCTGAGTCATTATATAGGGGCGGCAGGTAGGGAAGGGGGGCCTCTGGGCTCCCCTCAGGGAGAAGCAGCTTGCAGCTCCACATGGCCTCTGACCTAGCCCCGTGTGTGTCTTCCATCATCCAGGTCAACAAGCTGAAGAGGGAAATGGTTCACCTCCAGCAGGAGTTGCAGTTCAAAGAGCATGGCTTCCAGACCCTGCAGAAGTGAGTCCACCTGCCCTCTCGGGCTCCCCACGTGCTCCCCTTCTGCCCCCTTCTCTTCCCCGCCCCCCTTCTCGAAATGTGGCTCTCTGATCACTGGGTCTCAGTTCTTTCCACTGGCATCTACCGAACATGCCATCACCAAGTTCGGGTTTTAGAGAGAAGCGGAATCATTTCCGAGCACAGAGTTCGCACCGTCCCCTGAATTCCTGAAGCCGGCAAAGGTCCCTTCCTCCGTTCAGTTGAGGTTTATGAGCCAGTTGTAGAAAAAAGTGTTGAGCATTTCTGTGTCCCCGTCTCATCCTCTCCACCAGAATCCCACATGCACAAAAACAAAAACCAGCTCTTTTCTTTCCCCCACGGCCCCGAAAACGGAGCTTTGTCTGGTGGGCTCCACTGAGGGCACAAGCGTCTTCCACAGTGAATTATTGGAAGCACTACTGGATGCCATGCACACTGTACTTTGGGGTGACTTGGGAATTTCCAGGGAACCTGGACCAAATGAATTTTTCACTTTTAGAAGCCGACTTGCAGCTAAGCAAGATAGAGCTCTGTTGGGGTTTTTGTCATTGTCGTGATTGTACCAAGAGCAGTTACCCTGTGCCCGGAGCACTTCCATGCTTCTGCATGGGTGACCTCGTGTGATCCTGCCTACCGCTCCATAAGGAATGTTCTTTTAGCTCACTCCATCTTGTAGATGAGGAAACTGAGTCACGTAGTAGGTGCTCAATCAGTGTGAGTTTACTGTTACTATTAACCACGCGTATGACCCAGACTGAGGCATGGGGCACGCCCAGCATCTCCCATGGGCTCCTCGGCGGTCATCCTAAAGGAGCCTGCTAGCTCTCTTGGAAGCTCCAGGGGGGACATTCAATAGCTTTCTCTGTGCTCACGGACATCTCACTCAGAATCCAGGGAAGTCACTCTGTCCAGACAGTGGCATCTGTGGTCACTTGCGCTCTCCCTGACTCATCCTCTGAACCTCAAGTCCACTCCCATCTATCTGTGGCCAGAGTGCCAGGCCTTTGGATTGGATAGCTCCCTCCAAGTCCTATTAGTCTCGGGAACTATGACCACCAGCTGAGGGACCTGCTGGTCTTATTAACATCCCTCCCCACCACCGCCCCCGCTCACCGCCAAGCCCCCACTGCCTGGGGTGACTCACCATGAACCTTCTCCCCCCAACACAAGGTATTAGAAAGTATGGCTTACAGGTTGTACACAAGACATTTTTTATATTATAAATTCTGGTTTTCTATATAAGTGCTTATGTAGATATGCTATTTATATATGCATATCTATGTATGCCAATCCTATCTCTCAAACCAGATTCTAATCTCTTTAAGATAAGGGACCTTGCCCTAGCTGGTTTAGCTCAGTTAAAGCATCGGCCCTCGGACTGAAGGATCACAGGTTTGATTCTGGTCAAGGGCGTGGGCCTCAGTTGCAAGCTTGATCACTGGACCTGGCCAGGGCTCATGCAGGAGGCAGCCAATTGATGTCTCTCTTTCTCTCTGTCTCTCTCGCTCCCCTCCACTGTCTCTAAAAAAATCAATGGGAGAAATATCCTCGGGTGAGGATTAACAAGAACAAAAAAAAAGATAAGGGACTTTGTTTCTGCTTCTTGACAATCTTCAGTAGTGCCTCGGACAGTGGAGGGCAGTGATGTGAGCTTAGAAAATGCCTGTTTTTGACCTGGAGAGCAAGTAGCCTCCTCAGGCCTCCGCTTAGGAGTGGGGCAGCTTCTGAGCACACACCTTAGGGGCTGGTCCTCCCCCGCCTCCCCCTCCTGCAGTCCTCAGGAGCTTCTGGTGAGAACCCTTCCCATTATGCTCTGAGCCACCACAAACCTGTTTTACCACTTTGTCACCCTGTCGCAGCATTGAAAATTCTTGTCGTTTGGTAAGCTGAGCTGAAACCCCAAAGACAAGCCTCCTATTTTTCCCTCTCCCTCCGCCCTCCTGATGTTTGATATCAGCCCCGATACGACTCCAGCGCAGCTCTGGCTGCCCACGCTCCAGCCGGAAGCCAGCTCCCCGTGTTCCGTGCCAGGAACATCTGCTTTAATGCACACCTTGGCTCAGAGGGGTAGGAATGCAGCCTCCAAAGGTGATGGCCCGGGTTCGAATCCCAGTTCCCTGGGAACTTGGGAAAGTGACATCAGCCCTCTGTTAACTGTAAAGATGGAATTGGAAAATTCACACCAAATGTGTGACAGTGCCTGGCACCCAGGGGTGGCCCAGTGAGTGTAAGGGGGGTGGGTGACCGCTAGCGAGTCACCTGCTTGAACTTGGGAAGGAACTCGGATGAACTGAAGGCTATTCCAGGATTATCACTGTGCCTCATTCTCCTCCTTCCATTGTCTTTAGGCCTGAAGAGAAGTTTTTGTTCTGCCTACTTTATAGATGAAGTACTGGGGCAGGAGGGGGGGTGGGGTGGGGGGGTTTAAAATATACCCAAGGCCTCCAAACTGGTAAGCGTCAGAGCAGGGGTTAGAACCCACCACTATTGGATTCTGAAGCTCATGTCCTAATACGTCCCTTCCTGGCATCCTCCCAGGTAACCCCCTCCCCATCCAGAAAACATAGCCCCTTAATAGGGGATAATACAGTCACTTCCTCCCACCCTTCTCTCTCTCTCTCTGCATTCCATGGGGGACAGTGAAACGTACCATTTCTTCAATTCATTGTCACCTACCCATTTTCAAAAGAAAAGGTCGATGGGGACTGGAGGGTACCTCTTAGGGGAGAATGAAAAGGGAGAATGAAAATCAAGACGAAAGCTGGGCATGGGGGCTGCCCGCTGCCTCGAGCCCGTGTGAATAGGAAGGAGTTGAGGCTTGGCACACCGCCCCCGTGGGCGCAGGGCAGCGTGGTGTCTTTCTGCGTGTCCCCAAGGCCGCCCTGCCCGGGTGAGAGCTGCCTGGACAGGACGGAGAGGAGGTGGCTTCGGTCAGAGCCTTTGCCCGCTTCTGTCTATGGCTCTGCTGTGGCCACCGGGCTCCTGTGACTGCGGTGCACAGAGAAAGGACAGCTGCTCAATTTGGAAATCCTAAAACACACACACCCCTCGCACCCCCTCCTCCCCCTAACCACACAACTTTTCTTTTTCCTAAAAAAAAAAAAAAAAAGATTCATTCACTGTGTTCATAATGGTGACCCTTTGTTCCCCTCCCCCACCCCCACCCCAATCCCAAAAGAGTTCCTCTCTGAGCTGCTCTCGGAGCCAAATTCCAGAGCCTGGGTTGCTAAGGCCCCTGAGAGAAATCAGGTAGAGGCTGTGCGAGGAGCCGAGGCGCAGACAGACCGCTTCTGTCTCGCCCTGCTGGGCATTCACAGCCATCCTCACTGCTGGCAGAGGCCAGCCGGGCACAGCCCCTCCCCGGAGCCCCCAGCCCCTGGGTGTGCTCAGATAAACGGCGTCTCCCCTCACCACCACCCATTTGGGGGCAGGGCCGCCTCCAGGCCTGGACACTCGCTCCCGGGACCCTCCTCTCCTCGGAGCATCTTGGGCGGCCTCCGCTGCGGAAAGCTCCCTTTAGACCAGTTTCTCAAACTAAATCTGAGACCAGATTTAAGGTACCCGAGCTCGCGTGACCTGGCAGGCTGGCCCAGGCCCGAGTCCTCGAAAGGAATGGACGGGCTGTTTTCAGTGGGAGACACAAATGGGGCTTTGTTTTCTTTCTGAGGAGCTGAAATAACGGACAGGGAGCAGGAGGGCTGCGCTGTGGAGACCAGGACGTGGTCCCTCCGTCCCTCTCTCCTCCTCTCTCTCTCCTGCCCAGAGACACAGACCATGAGACCAGGATGGAGACCTGCTCCGGGTCCTGATTCCCCACTCAGGTTATTTTTAGCTCAGGACGGTTGGCGTCTAGCTGGACACAGAAAGGAATGCCCCTGAGCAGTTTCTGCTCCTTGAATAATGGGCTTGTGGTGTTCCCTCCACTGTCAAGTTGCTTTTTCTCCACCCTGGATCGAAGCCTCCTTGCCTTTGGCAAAAGAGTGAAGCAGTTAAAACTCTGTGCCCCCCGGACCTTGTCATCACCCCAGCCTCCTTCCCTGGGGGCTGGGACCCCAGCCTCCTTCCCTGGGGGCTGGGACCCCAGCCTCCTTCCCTGGGGGCTGGGACCCCGGCCATCTCTGGTGTGGTCTGACCTTCCGGAAACATCATGACCCTTCGCTTTTTTTATTTTCCCCCCCATCACAGTGAACCTGTATGTAGGACCTAGATGAGCCGGTGAGCACTCCAGGCGAGAAGTATTTTAATCCCTTACATTTGTCTACAGCAGTGGTTCTCAACCTTCCTAATGCCGCGACCCTTTAATACAGTTCCTCATGTTGTGGTGACCCCCAATTTCATTGTTACAAATTGAACATAATTAAAGCATAGTGATTAATCACAAAAACAATATGTAATGATATATGTGTTTTCCGATGGTCTTAGGCGACCCCTGTGAAAGGGTCGTTCGACCCCCAAAGGGGTCACGACCCACAGGTTGAGAACCGCTGGCCTACAGCTTGCAGGCTCCCTGTTCACCACCCCATTTTCCGTCCTTTATCCCCCTTGGTGTTCCTCACTGCTCTGTGACATGGCTGGGCAGGTGACATTATCCAGCTTTTTTTAGAGGAGGAAACAGGCTCCTGGTGGCTGAGGGCCATGCCCAAGGTCAAGATGCTACTGGCATCCAGTGGGCAGAGGCCAGGGATGACATCAGACATAGGACAGCCCCCTACAAAAAAGGAATGATCCGGCCTCAACTATCAAGAGTTCTGAGGTTGAGATACCAGGATTAAAGGACTGGTCTATGCCAGACACTAAAGCTACTCAAACATGCAAGCCTGCCAGAGTCAAGGACACAATCACACAAATTATTAATTATAACACAGCGTAATGAATGCTGTGTTGCAGCTAGGTGCAGTGTGCTCTGGGAACACCTGGCCCAGCCTGGAGGACCCCGGGAGGTAATCCGGGAAGGCTTCCTGTAAGAGCTGACACTTAGAGGACCCTGGACTTCAAGAGTGGTCTTGCTTCTACAGCCCCACACTAGGGACATTTGCAATTGAACATGGTCCTTCTGTGCCTTATTCCATAGGCAGGACAGAGAGGAAAATTTTTGAGAGAATGAAGCTCTGTGGTCTGTGCTTTTCTCCTGGGACACCCTGTTTCTCACCCCATCTTTTTTTAATTTTTTTATTTTTTTTACGGAGAGGAAGGGAGAGGGATAGAGAGTTAGAAACATCGATGAGACAGAAACATTGATCAGCTGCCTCCTGCACACTCCCTACTGGGTATGTGCCTGCAACCAAGGTACATGCCCTTGACCGGAATCGAACCTGGGACCCTTGAGTCTGCAGGCCGACTCTCTCTCCACTGAGCCAAACGGGTTAGGGCTCTCACCCCATCTTTGACCTTTCCCGTTGATTGTCTCCTAGAATCGACAAGAAAATGTCTGACGCTCAGGGCAGCTACAAACTGGATGAAGCTCAGGCTGTCTTGAGAGAAACGAAAGCCATCAAAAAGGCCATCACCTGTGGAGAAAAGGAAAAGCAAGATCTCATTAAGGTACCAAAGTGCCCATGACGTGGGCTCCACCTCCATGTCTCCTGGGCACCTTTCTATGCCAGGCAGTTCGGAGCGCCGAGGCTTAAGTCAGATGGACCAGGGAACCCTGGCTGTCAGCTTCTCCATGTCACAGCTCCCTCATGGGTAAAGTGGGGATAAATCCTGGGTCATTCCTGGCAGGGCTGCGGTCAGGATTAAATACATTGTGGTAAAGTTACTGAGTATGGACTGTGCTAGCACTTTACTCTGCTCGTCTCGTTTAGTCAGCACCATAGCCCTATGAGATGGGATCTGTGATTATTCCCATTTTGCAGGAGAGGACAATGAGGCACAGAGAGGTTCATGAACTAGCTCAGATCACACAGCTAGGAAGTAGCAGAGCCAGGGGATCTCAGGCAGTGTGGCTCCAGAGCCAGTGTCCACACCAGTCTTTCCCATGGAAGGGGCCTGGCACAGTGCCTGGCACCTAGCAAGTACCCACTCACTGCTGGCTCTTTACAGAGAAGTAGGAAGCGTGGGTGAGCCTCAGTTCCTACTGAATTACCAAAGGTGGCAGGCAAGGCACATGGAGAGTGAGAGACCCAGCACTCCCTCCCAAAAAGGTGTGTCACTGACCCTGTCCTCCCCGTTCAGAGCCTTGCGATGCTGAAGGACGGCTTCCGGACCGACAGAGGGTCCCACTCTGACCTGTGGTCCAGCAGCAGCTCTCTGGAGAGTTCGGGTTTCCCGCTGCCGAAGCAGTACCTGGACATGAGCTCCCAGACGGACATCTCGGGAAGTGTGAGTAGCAGTGCCTGTTGCTGGGGGCCTCGTGAGGGACCGCCCCCAGGAGACTGCTGGGATGATGGCCACCTCCTTGTGACTCACCTGGGGAGCCGGCTGGTGGCTCTCAATGGGGCTGGCTGCTCTCTCTGTTTTCTCATTGATTGTTAAGAGAGAATGGAAGGGAAGGGAGAGGAGGAGAGAGAGAGAGAAACATAATGACACATCAACTGGCTGCCTCCCGCACGTGCCCAGACCTGGGGCCAGGATCAAACCTGCAACCTAAGGTATGTGCCCTTGACTGGGAATCAAACCCGTGATCCTTCAGTGCACAGGCCGACACTCTAACCACTGAGATACACCGGCCAGGGCTGGAGCTCCGTTCTCTTGCAGAGCTCCTGGCCCCAGCGTGACAGCAGATGGTAGTCTGAGGAAAAGCCGGCACTGACTCTACATCCTTGGTGTCACTGGGCCATGTGCTTGTGTCTAGACGCTGCACAGAAAGGGTTTTTGAAGGACCAAGGGTCTTTCCTTCATGCTGTTTTGCAGCACTATTCTGTGTTTCTCCCACCAGCTGGAAAACAGGGCATTCTCCTCCTATTGGTCCTAAAACAATGCGTGCAGCTTGCGGACCACTGCTGACTTCCCAGTTCCCAAGCTCAGTCCGGTCGCCATGGTGAATGGTGCAAGCTCTGTCCAGACGTAGCTCGTGAAAGCAAGAGCAGGCAATCCGTGGCTTTGGGGAGCTTTTGTTTCCTAGAGCAGGTGACATTGAACGAACTCGCCGCCCGGCCTCTGTGGCTAAAATGCTCTTCCTATCTGACTTCTATAGCTGTGTTCCCACTTGTGATGAGAAGCTATATCCACGTCTGATTGGGTGAGCCTTATAGCTTCTTGCTGCTCCCAACAGCAAACAGGCCTTCCCCTTTCCTCCCCCACCACCCATGTGCCAGCTACCTGCCGCCTGTGGGCCGAAATATTTGAGAACGAGCTGTGTGCCTCCTTCCGGTTCTAGAACCTTCTTGCTCACCCAGTGTCTCAGTCCTGACTGCAGCCTCCTGAGTTTTCGGTCGACCTCCTCCCCAGTGCCCCCAGAATGGCTTTTCTTGTGTATTGGCTGTCCCTGACCAGCTGTCTCCGTGCTTCTGTGGCTTGAATGGGCTCCAAGCCGTTTGCGGCTGCGAGATGATATTCTGGGCCCTCAGCTTCTCTTCTAGGCGTGACTGATGTCTGCGTTTGGGGCTCTTCCCACGGCCTGAAGGAAGGAAAGCATTTTTGCCACCTAACTAGCTTCCTTGCGATGCGATGTGATGCGCACAGCCAGCTCAGTAATTGGGGGCTATTCTTAGCTACGTCCCACGAAAGCCTCACATATTTCCTGAGCTCCTGAAACGCCCCTGGGCACTGGCCACAGCAGCCACGTAACCAGCCTGACTCTGTTCTTCCCTCCAGTTCAGCACCAGCAGCCACAATCAGTTGGCGGAGAAGGTCCGATTGCGCCTTCGGTACGAAGAGGCTAAGAGGAGGTAATTGGGGGCCGGGGGTGAAGGGTCCTAACAGTAGAATTACTGTTGCTGAGGGTCCGCTCTTCCCTCCGTTTTACACGCCTCGTCTTGCTTAATCCTGCAGAGATTGTGAAGATGGTGTTATAATCATCATGTTGTAATCCTCTCTGAGTTTCTGACCCACAGACACTGAGCTGGATAAAGGGTGGAGCTCTGCTCTGAACACACGTCTGATAAACCTCAGAGCCTAGTTTTCTTTTCACCTGCTGGCCTCAGTGTCTATCTTCAGGGCTCTCCAATGATCCTCTACGCAGTTTGGTTTGAAGGAACACAACTGGGGTTTTAGCAACAGGCCAAAAGGGCTATGGGTCCTACCCCTGGGAGCAAGCTGTGCTTATAAACCGCGGGGTCCCTGGTGCCTAGAGAGGTTCTGTGGCTTCACAGAACCCCAAGCGGTTGAGTTCCACTGCCACAAATGAAAAAACCTATTTTCTTTTTAATCCTCACCCAAGGATATTTTTCCATTGATTTTTTTAGGGAGAGTGGAAGAAAAAGGGAAAGACAGAGAGAAACATCGATGTGAGAGAAACACATCGATTGGTTGCCTCCTGCATGAGCCCCCACCAGGTCCCAGGCCAGGGAGGAGCCTACAACCAAGGTACGTGCCCTTGACAAGAATCGAATCTGGGACCCTTTGGTCTGCAGGCTGCCACTCTATCCACTGAGCCAAACCTGCTAGGGCACACAAATAAAATAATACTCAGAGAAGACATATTGAGAGCATCTGTTAGAGTCAGACATTGTACTAAAACATTCACATATAAAAAATAATAAAAATTTAAAAAATAAAACATTCACATATGCATTATCTCATTTAATATTAAAAGCAATGTATAGGATAGCTTGTATTATCTCCATGCTAGGGAAGAGAAAGGTAAGATATTTAATGATTCTTCAATGTAGTGAAGTCAGAATTGGAACCCTGGACAATCTGGCCTCAAGTCTATCATCTTTCTATCACTGAGCCAGCCTTGCTAGGAAATAGCCGACAGGACATTGTGTAGGTGAATGAAGCCAGGCATATGCATCCATTTTCCTTACATTAAGTTCCTGGCCAGGGACCTTCCAAGCCAGTCCAGGTAAAGTGTGGCAGTGCCCAGCTCTGGCCGCTGTGAACTCCCTGGGAGCAGAACCCTTTGCTGCAAGGCAGAAATTCGATAGAAACTAGAGGGAATAAAAAAAAAAGGGGGGGGGGATTTGCTGAGACACTTGGCTGGGGAGTGGGCAAACCGAGAAGTATCTCTCTATGGAATTTTCACTACACAGCACAGGTCTCACCAGGTCTCACTGGGGAGGCTTTGTTGGCTTATTGAACTCAAGTCCTGGGTAAGCCAGCTTCAGGCACAGCTGTATCCAGGGACTCAAATGATGATATAAAGACTCAGTCTCTCTTCTTTTCTCCATCCTGCCTGCCTTTGTGTTGAGCTGCAGCATTTCTAGGCTTACCTACTACCAGGTTAGCAGCCCCAGTGGAAAGAGCACCACCCACCTTTCCCAAAAGTTGTAACAAGTTTGGAGTCTGAGACGCCCTGGCTTTTCTGGGTGAACCAATCATTTTTGTAGGGTGGGGAGAATTGGAAGGATTGGAAGGCCTAGGCATGGGTAATGTGCCCAGTTCTTGGAGGGAGATTGATGTCAGCTTTGTAGGAACCAAACGACTTGAAAATTTGGGAGGAGTGACTTCCCAAAGAAAATTTGGAAGATTGTGACCAAAAGAGAAAGACAGGGGATACTGGTCAGGTAGGGAAAAAATGCTCCCTGTGCACTATTTCAGCTCCCCCTAGAGGTCCCATAAAACAACAGGACTTCCTCGTTTGGACAGCCACTCCTAGTGCCCTCTGAAGGGGACTGCTCTGAACCCTGGATCTCTTCCAGCCTGTGGTGTTGCCTGTCTTAGGTCATCAATTCTGGGGAGACTAAAATTGGAATCTTCCCTCGGGTTGAGCCATTCAACTTCTTATCACAGAGAGAAGTCCTGTCACAGCTTCTCATCACTTCCTGCCTCATCTGCCTTTATCCAGCTTCCTGCCTCCCCTCCACCCAGAGCTCTCTGCAGGAGTAGGGGACCGAGCCAGTCGAGGGGGAAGTCAAGGCTGCAAGACCTGAGGGGTGGAGGCCAGGGGGAGGCTGTAGTGCAAGGTCAGGTCATTGTGTGCCACGCTTGGTCGCATGTGCATTTCTGGGCAGCAAGTCTGGTAGTTTCCTCAGATTCTCCAAAGGATGCAGGGCCCGAGGTTTGAGGAGTACAGGCGGAGAGAAAAAGTCACTAGAAAGAACATGCAAGAAAGCATCCATCACCCCTCCAATGTCCCACGTGTGGTTGAGCTGCTGCCAGACTTGGCCGTTCCACTGTCCTCAGAGCAGCTGGAGAACAGCAGCGAGGGCTGTACATGTGAATATGGAATTTAAATTAATTAGCTCTAAGAATCCATGCGTGCTGAGACACTTGGCTGGGGAGTGGGCAAACTGAGAAGTCTCTCTCTATGGAATTTTCACTACACAGCACAGACATCTTGTCTCCCACCGTGTTTTGATAAACTAATGTTGGGCCACATTGTCTGCAGATTTGATCACACTGGGAGTCCAGAGGCCTCCCCTATAACAAGTCATAGCCATGCTGTGACTCAATCGTAGGTGAGCCTCTCTGGACATGTGTCAAACAGGATGACCACCAGGTCTCACCTACCCTTTGGGGGCTGGGAGAGGCTAGGACATGGTAGCTAAAAGCACTTTGCAAAGGCTAAATCCTGAAGGATCACATGACTGCCTTTAGATACGTGTCTCAGAGCTCTTGATTATACTGTGAATCTTAATTTGGCCCAATGATAATCAGACCTACTGTCTGCAGGCACTGGGCAGTGTATAAAGATCCCTGAATGGTATGTTCTCACTTGGTCGTCAGAACCCACCTCGCAGGCACAGGATACTCAGTCTCAAAGAAGTTAAGGGACAGGGCTCCTGACTCCTTCCTTAATGTTATTAAGTACCTGCAGTATACCAGGGAAAGTGCTAGAAGCTTGTGATGCCAAAATGATTTCTTAACAAAAATGATCTTTCATCAAGAAGGCCAGAGCCAAAACCCCAGCTCCAGGCCTCAGGCCCCAGGTCCATGGTTGCTCACACGGCGCTGCCCCCGCACTCACTGGTTAGCAGTTGTGGTCTTAGCTATGGTTGTAGGGGGCCCGTGACTGCCACTGGTTTAGTACCTGTTATGTACTAAACAGGTGCATACTTTAAACATCTATAATAGTAAAAACGTAATATGCTAATTAGATCGGATGTCCTTCCGGACCAAGCTGGGGCTGTGAGGGAAGCCCAGGTCTCGGGTACCAGAGGGAAGCCGGTGCCGGCAGCCTGGGAAAGGAAGGCCTACTCTTGCACGAATTTTGTGCATCAGGCCTCTAATTATATAATAAATACATAATGGCTCATTTTCACAATGATTCTGAATGACGAATAATTGTTTTGTTATCTTTACGTGTGACTATGGAATTTAAATTAATTAACTCTAAGAATCTGTGCCTACTGAGACACTTGGCTGGGGAGTGAGCAAGGCTCAGGGAGTTTGCCCAATGTCATGTACCTGATAAATGGTCAGACCAGGTACCAACAACAGAGGCAGCGGAAACATTTATTGATCACCTACTATGTGCCAAGTAGCGCGCTCTGAGAGTTTATGGATGTGTCACAAAGCCTTCAACCACAACTCAGGAGGAATGGTCGCTCTCTTTAGAGAGATTATGACTTGTCCACGGTCACATCGCTAGTGGTAAGAGGCCGTTGCCTGGTGATGAACCCAGCTCTCGATTCCATTCTGCCAGGCTCGTGTCCCCCTCGACCAGGCCTTGTTTATGCCTCTACCCCATCCCTGCAGCGCCTGCTCATTGCTGGCACTTGGCAGGCACTGCCTGGGTCTCTTAGATAAAAACATGTTCCTAGAGACGACATGCTGAGCAAAACGAAGTCAGGAACCGTCAGGCTGCTCGGAGGATGTCACGGCTCCTTGTCTCTCACAACCTTGGACGTGCCCTCTGTTACCCTCTCCCGCAATGCCACGGGCACACCGGTCACGCCCCCCCCTTCTCGGCCCGCAGGATCGCCAACCTGAAGATCCAGCTGGCCAAGCTGGACAGTGAGGCCTGGCCTGGAGTGCTGGACTCGGAGAGGGACCGGCTGATCCTCATCAGTGAGAAGGAGGAGCTGCTGAAGGAGATGCGCTTCATCAGCCCCCGGAAGTGGACGCAGGGCGAGGTGGAGCAGCTGGAGATGGCCCGCAAGCGGCTGGAGAAGGACCTGCAGGCAGCCCGGGACACCCAGAGCAAGGCGCTGACCGAGAGGTGGGGCTGGGCCGGGGCCGGGAGGGGGCGTGCGGCCCTTCCCTCACTGCCCGTCCTGGGGCTGCCAGAGGTCCTTGTGTTTCATGAAAAGTGTTAGGATTTTTTTTAATATTGAGAACTAATCCAAAAGGTTTTTTAAAATATATTTTTATTGATTTCAGAGAGGGAGGGAGGGAGAGAGACAGAAACATCAGTGATGAGAGAGAATCATTGATCGGCTGCCTCCTGCACACCCCACACTGGGGATCGAACCCACAACCTGGGCATGTGCCCTGACCGGGAATTAACCATGACCTCTTGGTTCACAGGACAATGCTCAACTGCTGAGTCACGCTGGCCGGGCAAATCCAAAAGTTTTTTAAAAATACTAGGAAAGCTAAATCAGCTTCCTGTGGGCCTGACTTAATCTGAAAGCCACTGGTTTACATTCTTTGCTTTCAACCTTTAACAAACTTTATTTCCTTCATTGTCACAACAGTTTGCACACCCTCACTGCACAGAGCACAACCTTGCACCCACAGGAGGTCCCATAATCCCCAACTTCTCATTCACTGATTCATTCATTGCGTCCATTACCTGTCATACAGTCCTTCATTTAAACCTTCTGGCAACACTGAGGTTGATCTCCGTTTTATAGATGAGGAAACGGAGGCTCCCCCAACATCCCTGAGTGGCAGAGCTGTGCGTAGATCCCAGGCTCACTGGCTCCGGAGCCCATGCTTGCTTTAGGCTGCTGCCCACGTAGAGGGTCTTTTATTATTGCCGTCAGCCCCTGGGTGGCTTCCCTGGAACTGTAAGTTCACACAGCCAGTCCGGGAAGCCAGGATCTCCACTCTGCAGCAGCTGCTGAGCGGGTGACTTGAAGGTCCCCCAGGGCAGGGCCTTTGGGGGACATGCAGAGGGAAGCCAGGGGCATGTAGGCAGGAGGAGAGGAGAGCCTGGGGAAGGGTAGGGACAGGCTAAAAGCTGTGAGCCTCTGCAGGCGAGAGGAGAAAGCTGACTCAACAGTCTTCGCATCTACAGCTGTTTGCTTCCCGATCACGCTTGTCTGTCTGTGTCCATCCCTCTGACTCTTGTCTCCTTAGGTCTCTTTCTGTTCCCATGTTCCTCTCTCTCTCCTGTGTCTGGAAATGGGAGTATTATGCGCCTCATCTTCACACAATAGCCTTTCCATTCAAGATGCCTCTGAGGACAGGAATAGTTAAACCACACCACAGGGCCTGCCAAACCCCAGTCACAAATCAGTCAGAATGACAGATATCTCTACACCCCTCGTCCTAACCCCTCCCCTCCTGTAGGGCCTCCCACCACTTCTGAGAGCGGCTGTGCATTCAGGCGGGGTGCTTGTTAGAGTGTGGGCTCCCTGGCTGCACCCCAGGAACGGGTTCCCCAGGCCTGGGATGCAGCCCAGGCTCTTGCATTTTTAACCAGCACCCCAGGTGCTGAGCTCAGCTTGCGCACCTTCTGCATCCTCTGCCTTCGGTGCTTGATGTGTTCTTGGCCTCCCAGCACGTGCCCGGCATCACACACAAATGCCATCTGGCCCGCTCGGCCCAGCGCCTCTGGGAGGAGGCCTCGGCGCCTGCGTGTTGCTGCCGGCGGCCACACCCTGTGCTCAGGAAGTCAAGGCCACCTGACTCCTGGCCCCCCAGCATCCTCTTGGGGCTTCAGTGGGGACCTGCTTTTACTCCCATAACTGCCTCCGTGGTTTTCTCCCAGAGAAGAGGAAAACGGAGGTAGAAGTGGGGGCCCCAGCGGCTCCTTGACCTCTTCCTTCCAGGGCTTTGCTCTTAGGCAGGGTCAGGGGTTCGGCCCTGTTCGTTCCGTGGAGAGTCAAGGATTCTGTTCGTTTCGGGCTCCGTGTGCCCGCCTGCTGCCTGCCCTGCCCCGGGCAGGACTCTGGAAGAACAGTGCCAGGGATGGTGGCCAAGGACCATGCCAAGGCCTCTCTGCCTGCTGCTCCAGTGGTCTTTTCTGGAATTTCACAGGTTCCATTGACCATTAATAGTCCCCGCCCATCCCTGACCACTGCTCAGGTGTCTAGAGCCAGCTCTGTGTTGAAGGCCTGGGATCCTGGTGGAGGGATAGTGTGGTTAGATTTTTCCATGGAAATAGAGGGAGGTATAGTTGGGTAGAATCCTAATTCTGCCACTAATTCTGTAGCTTTAAGTAAATTATTGGACCGAAGAACAACTTCTTCATATGTAAAGTGGTAAAAGCCATTCTTACCTCGTTAGGGTTATTATGCAAATGAATTAAAACATTGTCATAGCATATTGTTTCTAGCACAGCACTTGGTATATTGTGTCTGATGATACAAGCCGTTGCTATGGATTATATGGGGAGCTCACATCTCCCCAAACGTCACAGGGAAATGCTTCCAGAAGGTTCCTGTGTGTCGGTGTGTCCATCTCCATGGGTACAGGCCTGTGATTCCTCTTTCAGGGACACATTCCTCGGGGCTCCCCCTCATGCCTTCTCTCCCTTCAGGTTGAAGTTAAACAGTAAGAGGAACCAGCTGGTGAGAGAACTGGAGGAAGCCACCCGGCAGGTGGCAGCTCTGCATTCCCAGCTGAAAAGGTGAGCGGTGGGCAGTGGGGACAGTGCTGTCCGGGGGCTGGCCAGGTGCAGGCGTCCCTCCTGCACGACACGGAGAGCAGACCTCAGGCCTGGGCCTTGGTGGGCAACTGAGTGTCGCAGGACTTTCACAGCATTTGTTTTTCTCAGATATTTCTCTTTTTTTAAATATATTTTTATTGATTTCAGAGAGAAAGGGAGAGGGAGAGAGAGATAGAAACATCAATGATGAGAGAGAATCATTGATCGGCTGCCTCTTGCCAGGGCTCTCAGATATTTCAACCGTAGCCTTTGTTATAAGTGATACTGCATTTCACATATATATGTATATATATATATATATATATATATAAAAGCATAACAGAGTTGATTTGAATTAACATATTATTTCGGGCTAGATTCAAATACGGGAAAATACCATGAAAATGGAAAGCAGCCAGCGGAGGTTTGGGAAACAGAGATACAGAGGGGGAAATGAGCTTTAAGGCAGTTGGCTTGGGTTCGAATCCCAGCTCTGCCAGTTTCTGATCGGGTTGCCTTCTCGGGGTATCAGTTTCCTCTAGTGAAACGGGGTGCGTGGTCTACCCTGGAGACTGTCAAGAGGGTCCAGTGAGATCATGCACTCTGCGTGCTTAGGTGCTTTTCAGAGCCGGGCAGGACGTCCGCCCCAGTCGCTCCGTGTATCCTCACCCTCCATCCTCTCTCTGCCCCCAGCCTCTCGAGCAGCATGCAGTCCCTGTCCTCAGGCAGCAGCCCTGGGTCCCTCACGTCCAGCCGGGGCTCCCTGGCTGCCTCCAGCTTGGACTCCTCCGCCTCCGCCAGCTTCACTGACCTCTACTATGATCCCTTTGAGCAGTTGGACTCGGAACTGCAGAGCAAGGTGGAGTTCCTGCTCCTGGAGGGGGCCACGGGCTTCCGGCCCTCGGGCTACATCACCACCATCCACGAGGACGAGGTGGCCAAGACCCAGAGGGCCGAGGGGGGCGGCCGCCTGCAGGCCCTGCGCTCCCTGACCGGCACCCCGAAGTCCATGACTTCTCTGTCTCCACGCTCCTCCCTCTCCTCCCCGTCCCCGCCCTGCTCCCCTCTCATCGATGACCCCCTCCTGGCTGGAGACGCCTTCCTGAGCCCCCTGGAGTTTGAAGACCCGGAGCTGAGTGCCACTCTTTGCGAACTGAGCCTTGGCAGTGGCAGCCGGGAGAGGTACCAGCTGGAGGAACCCGGAATGGAGGGCAAGCAGTTGGGCCAAGGTAGAGAACACAACCACAGCGGGAGGGTGGCAGCCTCTGGGAGGCAGGGAGAGGGAAAGTGTGCTCAGGCCTGGGCACGGACCGCAATGATAATCATGATCATTATCATACCATAGGGCTTATGGATTTCTTTATTCATTCACTAGAGTGTACTTACATGTTCTACGTCTTGGGCTAAGGGTTTTTCCGTGGTGGATTCATTCATTCAGCAGGTAATTCTCATTAAGTACATACTGAAATGAAATGCCAGGCCCGTGCGAATGGATGCACATGGCTCATCCATTCATTCAGCAGATGTGCCATGCGCCAGGCACTGGGCTAGTCACAGGGATACAGTCTTCAGGACAGACGGGTCCCTGCTCCCATAAAGTGTCTACTGTACAACCAGGCCAATAAAAGCGGGAAGAAATTACACTAGGGGATGTGATGGAGGTTTTCAGGTTGGGTTGTGAAGGAGGGTGGCCTTGAACCGGGGCTTCCACAGGGGGAAGAGCCAGCCTTGGGGGAACCAAGAGCAAGTCTCTGAGGCCAGAGCTAGGGGTCTGCAGGAGGGGCCGGCCGTCGGGGTCACCAGCAGGGCTGGAGACACGGGGATTCTGGTCCCAGAAGGCCTGGGGGCCTGTGGGAAGGAGTTTGGGTTTTATCCTAATTGCAGTGAGGATCCATGTGAGTGTTTGCAGCCAGGGCATGTGATCTGACTCCCATTCTGCATGGGGTCGGATTGAGATTCATGTTGGAATGTCCCAAACAGAAGGCAATGCTGAGGATGGCAGCTAAGACTTATTGAGAGAAAGCCGCATAATAAATCATAACAGCTAGCATTTATCGGGGTGCATCAAAGGTGGGCGATGTGATTTATAGGGTGCAATAGCTTACTTGTATTGTGCCCACTTCACAGATGAGAAAACAGCAGTTTAGAGAGATGACATCACTTGCCGTAGGCCCCCCCTCCCCGAACACACAGAAGCGGGAAAGCAAGGATTGGAATATGGGTGTTTCTTTGACCCAAGAACCCAACATCTTTGTTGTCACTCTCCTCTTAGCATGCGAAGTAGCCCAGGGTGTTCGTTCCTGGGACACTTCGGCGCTCTCTGGCCCCACTGTGCTTGCCTGACCTTGGGTGTGAAGGTCAGGTCTGAGCAGGTGCTCAGTAAGCTCACCTTCAGCTCTGGCCTTTCCTGGCTCTGACTTACTGAGTGCAGGTATACAAGACACTGTTATGCATATGTGCTCATTTAAGCCTCACAGCATCTCTGAGGTAGGTGCTGCTCTATCCCCATAAAACAGAAGAAAGAAGTGAGGCACGGTGAGGTTACACGACTTGTCCGAGGTCAGTGTCACAGCTAGGAAGCGGAAATGTCAGGATGGGCGCCAGGCCTGCCCGGAACCCACGTGAAGCCGGTGCCGGCTCTGTCTGCCGCAGGTGCCTGCTCCTGCCTCCTCGAGTGGCCAACTAGAAGCCGGACCCATCTGAGCATCGAGGCTACAGGAATGGGCAGGAGGGCCATGTGGTGCCCAGAATTATCCCTTTGTGTGCAAGGGAGAGCCAGATCCCCTAGTTAATTAGAGGCTCTGCTGCGTGAGTTTCCTTAGATGAGGAGCTGAGAGACCCCTGGGCTCCCTCAGCAGGAAGGGGGTCATGCTGTGTGCTCTCAAACAGAATAAAAGCAGGCTTCCTCCTACAGCAGGTGGCAATTTCAGACAATTGGTCCCTGGAGAGGAGGTGCAGGTGGGACCTCTTAACAATACTTGACCCCAGCCGACACTCAGACCCCAGCCGGGAGCCAGGAGTGACTCCCCTCCTGCCCCCACAGTGTCCTTTCGGGCCGTGGGCCAGAGACAGCCCCTCTTAGGATGGCGTTTCCGTCATGCCACCTCCAGAACCTCACTACAGTGATCGATGCCAGGCTGAGCCCAGACGCTAAGCAGGTTAAGGGATTAGGGCTGCCGTTCAGTCAGCAGACAAATTAATCTCCGTAAGTGGTTTAGCGGAGGGTGGAGATGTGGGGGTCTGGAGACAGGAGGTCTGCAGGCTGCAGCAGGTGTGGGCCCCAGGCTGGAAAAGCCACCCCAGGTGGCTGCTTGCATCTCCCAGGCTCCCACCACATCCCTTTCCCCAGCCTGCTCACCCCGTCTCTCCAGTCTGCCCCCACTCCCCCTCCCCCCCCCCCCCCCGAGACTTTTGACGGCCTCTGTCAAGGGCAGGGAGCTGAGCTGAGCTGAGCTAGGGGTGGAATGGGACAGGCCGAGTGGGAGAGCCAGTGCTTCTGTCCTTCCCGCCTCTCCCTTGCCCTTCCCGAGGGTCCAGTTGTGTAGGGATTCACCCGGAAGGCATGGGGATATCATGGACCGAGGTAATGGGTTTTGTAGAGCGCTTTCCCCACACCAGTCTATGATACAAACTTCCCTCTAATGTTGGAGTGAGTCTTCCTAACAGCCCTACAAGGTGAGTATCCCCCCCATTTTACCGATGAGGAATCGGGGCTCACAGACGTGACATTGGTGTCCCACTATCTTTTTTTAAAATATATATTTTTATTGATTTCAGAGAGCAAGGGGGAGAGAGAGAGAGAGAGAGAGAGAGAGAAAGAAAGAAAGAAAGAAAGAAAGAAAGAAAGAAAGAAAGAAAGAAAGAAAGAGAGAGAAACATCAGTGATGAGAGAGAATCACTGATTGGCTGCCTCCCGCACTCCCCCTACTGGAGAGTGAGCCCACAACCCAGGCATGTGACCTGACCGGGAATCGAAATGTGACCTGGTTCACAGGTCAGTGCTCAACCACTGAGCCATGCCGGCCGGGCAGTGTCTCAATATCTTGAAGCAGTAAGTGGTGGAGCTGAGAACTGAACCCAGGCAGTTTCACCCAGACGTCAAACACAGAATCAGATGCTACCCTTTCTTCACTCCGAAGCGAGGCGGCACCTGGCTGTCGCGTTCACAGGTGGTTGGAATTTGTCAGGACCCTCTTAGGAAGAGGTTGGATGGATCTCAAGTGTGTGTTGCAAAGGCAGTGCCCTGGTTCTGAACCCCACCTTGCCACCCTTCTCCCACCTCTTCCTCCAGCTGTGAATACGGCCCAGGGGTGTGGCCTCAAAGTGGCCTGCGTCTCGGCTGCCGTGTCGGATGAATCCGTGGCCGGGGACAGCGGCGTGTATGAGGCTTCCGTGCAGAGGTGGGTCCCTGAGACCTGGGTCTCTGGGAACTGTGATCCCGCAGACGTTGGGCCCCCAAGATGTGTGGGAGGGGCGTCCCCTACAGCAGGGCATGCCCCGGGGACCCCAACTTCCCCCAGCAGCCAAAGATGCAGGCAGGGCAGCTCCTCCTAGGGCTGGGGCGCTTCAGATTTGGGAGAGCGCTAGTTTCGTGGTCGTCATTAAGGGGCATAAGACTAGGGGAGCACGTACTAGAGAAAGGGGAGCCCCTTCAAGTCAGACCAGGAGCGATGGTGGGAAGGCAGGGTGTGCAGGGGGGCTGAGCAGACCTGCCAACCTTTTCTCCTTGAGGAGCGACCGCACCTTCCCGGACAGAGCCCAGGTCGCTGCAAGGGATTCTGACGCCTGTCTTTCCCGCGTGCCTTCCAGACTCGGTGCATCATCAGAAGCCCCTGCTTTCGACAGTGAGGAGCCAGACGCGGTGGGAGCAACCCGGGTTCAGGTTGCCCTGCAGTGAGTAACGGGGAGAGGGGACAGAGGGTCTGTGCAAGGCCTCTTCCTCCTGGGCAGCATCTGCCCAGCCCGCTGCCCAGGGAGGAAGGCAGAGCAGCAGGACCTGCTGACAGGGTGGACTCCTAGTTAAAAGGGGCCACCCTTCCCATGCCTCCCAGCACCCATTTTACAGGAGAAAAACGAGGTTTTGAAGACCTTGTTACGTGCCCCGACTCACTGCGCGGGCCAGTGGCAGAGCCAGCCCCTGCCTGAGCCCTTCCTGCCTCTCGTTGCTGTGGCTTTTGTCGCAGCATCTCAACCAGGTCTCCGCCATCTGGACCAAAGTCACCCCCTGGGGGCTGCAGCCCAGATGTGTGGTTCTTGTTTTCTCTTGATGGGGGATGGCCTCAATTGTTTTAAAAAAGTTTGCCATTTTAACCATTTTTTTTAAAGTGGTTTTCGAGAGAGGAAGAGAGAGAGAGAGAAACATTGATGTGAGAGAGACACGTTAATTGGTTGCCTCCTGAACGTGGCCCAACTGGGGATCGAGTCCACAACCTGGGAATGTGCCCTGACCAGGAATCGGACCCACCAACCACCTCTTGGTGTAGGGGATGACACTCCGAACAACTGAGCCACACCGGCCAGGGCCTCAATATCTTTTTAACAGATTTTTTAATTGATTTTTAGAGAGAGAGGAAGGGAGAGGGAGAGAAACATCAACGTGAGAGCAAAACATGGATCAATCCCCTGCCCCCCCGGGTACCCCCTACAGGGGATTGGGATTGAGCCCGCAACCCAGGCATGTGACCTGACTGAGAATCAAACTGACAACCTTTCTCTGCAGGGTCTCAACACCCAGCCAACACCCACCAGGGCCTCAGTATTTTTTTTTTAATAAGAATTAATTGCCAATATTTAAGTATCAGGAAATTTCACACAAACTTCTGACTTCCCTTTAAAATTCGTCCTTCCCTGCTCCTGCATTCCCGCATAGCAGCGAAGCAGTGGCCTGTGCTATCTGACTCACCACAGTCTCCAGAGCTGCCGGCAGCCACGTCTGTGATTATTAAGAGAGAGACAGCCCAACCGGCCTGGCTCAGTGGTTGAGCGTCGACCTATGAACCATGAGGTCACAATTCAACTCCCAGTCAGGGCACATGCCCGGGTTTCGGACTCCATCCCCATTGTGGGGCATGCAGGAGGCAGCCGATCAATGATTCTCTCTCATCATTGATGTTTCTATCTCTCTCCCCCTCTCCCTTTCTCTCTGAAATCAATAAAAACATATTTAAAGGAAAAAAGAGAGAGACACGTGCGTTACCCACAGGTGCTCCATGTGCCCCTTTTCCTTGCAGGTATGACGAGAAGAATAAGCAGTTTGCAATATTAATCGTCCAGCTGAGTAACCTTTCTGCCCTGTTGCTGCAGCAGGACCAGAAAGTGTGAGTATCTAGCGGACAAGCTGGAGTGTGTGTCTTCCTCTCCGCAGCCATCCCTGGGTCACTCTCCTGCTCGGACAGCGGCCTCCGTAAACCCACTGCTGGTATTTCATGCCTGTGACCTTGACGCTAAGGGTCAGGCAGTGAATGTGGATACAGGCACAGTGGCAAACACGCCAGCTCTCATGAGAAACCCTCTGGACCCTTCGGTTCCTTCACACGTACGTCCTGAGCACCTACCGGGTGCCAGCACGAAGAATGGGCCAGGAGCAAATAGGGATTTGAACTTGAGTGAACAAGTTGTGAAGAAGGTGGCCATGGCCCCTTCTGTCTGCTCTGAGCTCAGGTGTTCCCCGCAAAGACAGGCAGGCGCGTCATCCTCAAGCGTCAGCGCCATCCCTGTGCTTCTGTCGGGATTTCCCTGAAATGGATCATCCGGCAAATACCTACCTTCTGCCTGTTGGCTCCTCATGGCAGACGGGTTCTGTTTCATTGAGCTCGTCTGCCTACCTGTTCTCCTCTCGCTACACCCTAAGCCCTGACGACAGCAGCAGGAGCTCCTATTTCTGTGGTCTGCACCCAGCCAGCCTCCGGGGGTGCGCCATGCGGGAAGGAGGGAGGCAGGAGGAAAGCCGGCCAAGCAGAAGGAAGATGGGATAGCACCCGGGGGTGGTTTTCTGTCTCACGCTCACCCACGCAGCACCGGGATGGGGAACCTTCTGCATAGCTCATTGGTCCTCCCACAGGTATCTGGGCGAGAGCCTAAGAGCGAGCTGTCTGGGTCCAAGGGTAAATGCATCTGTGATTTTGTTCGGATGGCACGTTCCCCTCCGCAGGGGTCGTCACACTTTGCCTTCCTACCAGCAGCGGTATAAGGGCTCCTCGGTGGTAACAAGCAGCCTCGTCGGTCCGGCACGTGGACCTTTGCACGCTGCTGGCCTCAGGCTCCCCATGCGCTGAGGTCCTAAGGACTTAGGAGATTCAGGGGGAGGAAGAGCAGTGCGTTATCTTTAGGGGCCCTCTACCTAAGGATAGTGTGTGGTATATCCTTCACACACACCTGCGTGACGACCTGAGAAATGACAGTTGTTCACTCTGGCATTTGCAGCACGCGGTTAGCCCCACACGCCAGGCCTAGACCTGGGCTGACCAGGCTCTCCTGCGTCTCTGTCTCCCTCCAGGAACATCCGTGTGGCCGTCCTTCCCTGCTCCGAAAGCACCACCTGCCTGTTCCGGACGCGGCCTCTGGACGCCTCGGACGCCCTCGTGTTCAATGAGGTGTTCTGGGTGTCCATGTCCTACCCAGCCCTTCACCAGAAGACCTTAAGAGTCGACGTCTGTACCACTGACCAGAGCCATCCGGAGGATTGCCTGGTGAGGGCTGTGTCTGTCTGTCTGTCTGTCTGTCCTCTGGGGAATGGTGCATCGTGTTCTTCAGGGAGAAGGTCTGGAGAAAAGGCTGTAGGCTCAGCTGGGCTTCTGGGCAGAGACCTTTCCACGGGCAGACGGCACTCTCAGACTTATTGGGGGTGGAGGAGCTCGGTTCACAGGAGGAAGAGTGACAGCCCTGAAAGGGTTTTTTAAAATGCCAGGACCTCGACGATAACTAGCCGCATGCCGTGGCTTTACCGTGCGCCACTACAGGAGAACACATATACAGGGGCTCAGATCCCACCTTCACCACTCGAGGTGTAGCTGGGTGACCTTGGACAAGTTACTTAACCTCTCTGGTCCTGTTTTCTCATCCATAAAATGCAAATGGTAATGCCTGCCTCGTGCCCACTAAAAGAGTCGTTATAAGGCTTACAAGAGACAGTTCATGTAAAGCAACAGTTCATGTAAAGCACCTACTCAAGTGTCTGGCACACAGTAGGTTCTCATTGGATGGGGCCACTGCTAGTCCACGCCACTTCCTCCTCCTCCTCCTCCTCCTCCTCCTCTTCCTGCTCCTCCTCCCCCCATTGGCAGAAGTCAGGATTAGAGAGGAAGTAGCTCCGGGTACATTTGTGTTCCAAGAAAGCCATTCCCTAGAGCCAGGCTGACCCAAGTACATAGAGATGTTGCTCAGTTTTCTCATCTGTAAAATGGGGCTTCGAAGCTAACTCAGGCGCTTGTTGTAATGCACAGATGAGTTAAGAGAAGTGGGGAACCTCCTTGCTCTCCATCCCCAACCCTGACGTGTTTGTGCTGTGAAACCCTGGTCTGCCGGGGAATTGGGGGCCGCAGCTTTGGAATGTTGGCCCTGAGGCTGTCACCAGCCCTGTGCTTCCCTGCGCAGCCCTGAGTTCCCTAAGACAGTTCATCTCTCAGTCTGTTTCCTTATCTGACAGGTGACTCTCTGGGGGTTAAGTGAGGTGCTAAAGCAGCACTTCCCAAACTGGTGAGAGACACGCACAGGTTACCCGGGGCTCTGGTTAGAATGCAGAGTCTGGTTCAGCAAGTCTGTGATGGGGTCCGAGGTGATGGGGTCCGAGGTTCTGCATTTTGACACGCCCCCGGGAGATGCTGGCACTGCTGGTGCCATAGCAAGGATGCAGAGCAGTGAAGAGTCTCCCTGGAAGCTGGTTCCTGTCCCTCTTCAGCTGGGTACATCACTGCATCTGCGGTTGTCATTATTACCGACAGTTAGGCAACAGTCAGCATTTATGTGGCAGGCCCTGGGCTAAGCTCCTTACGTGTATTCTCTCTATTGATTCTCAGTCAGTCTTATAAAATAGGTCCTATTATACCAGTGAGGAAACTGAGGCACGAAGAGGAGAAAGGACTTTCTCAAGGTCACACAGTCAGGAGGTGGCAGGTGGCAGGTGCAGAGTTAGAACCCAGGCAGGTTCGCCTCTGCAGCTCACCCAGGTCAGCCCCTCCGTGTGTCCTCAGCGCCGGCACCATGCTCCCTGGAGCCCACAGGTAGGGACGGTGACCGAAGGGTGTGGCAGACATGGAGGACGCTGAGTGACAGCAGAGCGCTTTTCCAAGCCCGGGCTCCCCCCAGCCTAGCGTTTCCGCAGCCCTGGCCACGCCTAGATGAGCAGAGACTCAGTCCTGTTTTCTTCTCCTAATTGGATGCCTTTTATTCCTCCTCCCTAATTGATGTCTGGCCAATGCCGGTTGCCATGGCAGCAGCCAAGCGCTCATCCCACCGTGGCTTGTTTCCATCCTCGGCCAATGAGAGGCCTATTTCTCCGTATCCTGTGGGGAGATGGAGTGTCAGGCTGTCGTGTTCTGGTGGCTGGAGGAGGCGAGGAAGTGAGACACGAGGGGAGAGGGCTGTCTGCTTCCACGCAGAGGCCCCCTCACCGCTGCATTTGCAGAGTCTGAGCCATCTCGTCCGCCAGGCCACAGTAGTGCCCATCCTGAGTGTGTCTGTGTGTCTAGTGCTGGGCTAAGAACTTTGTGTGAAGTGTCTCGTGCTGGGCTAAGAACTTTGTGTGCAGTGTCTCACTTCATCCTCACAGCAGCCCTGGGAAGCAGCGTTAGGATTACCCTCACAGCAGCCCTGGGAAGCAGCGTTAGGATTACCGCTGTTTGACAGATAAGGGATCAAGGCTAAGTAACTTACCCAGGCCATCCAGTGAGTAGGTGGAGGAGTCTGGGTGTGAACACAGATCCCACGTCCCTTGTGCAGAGCCATCGCACTGTCCTACTTCTCACAGGGTCACTGTGCGTGTCTCTTGTGTCCCAGACCCAGATTAGGGGTTTGGAGGAGGACGTGGCCTGCCTTCCCCAGTATCGCAGGCCACAGTCCTATCTGATGCTCTAGCGTGGCCTAACGGGTCACAGGCTGTCCGGTGGGGCCCTGGTCACCCACCCCCGACCACTGAGCTCAGTGCCACAGGTTCTGTGAAGGCAGCCCATTTCCCGGGCCCCACTCATGGCCCGTGGATAACCGGCACGGCGGCTCCCCACCCTTTCTCACCCTGCCACCCCCGCGTGGCACAACCCCAGGCCTGTGTACTCTCTCCCCCTGCGCAACAGGAGAAGCACTCAGCTGTGCTGGGTGGCGTCACTTTGTCATCATGTCTCGAAGCTCCCGTGAGCCCGAGAATGCTCAGCACTATTCTCGTCTCCATAGACGGCTCCCTCCCCGCTCCTCCCAGTGCTGAGTTCTTGCCCTCTCTCCTCCAGCCTCCAGCAGCTCCGTCCCCACCCTCCGAGGGGCCCTGGCTTCACTCAGTGAGAGGTTAGAAGGAACCCGAAGAGTTCCCACAGCTCCCACCACCTCTAGCTGGTCTCGTGGGTTCTGCCATTTCTCCTGGTTCTAGGGATGGGCCCTCCCCACCCCCATCTCAGGCCATTCTCTCTCAGGGAGGGCACGGCCACCGTGATTCTGCTCCATCCTGTCTTCAGGTCTGCCGCCTCCACCGCATCTGGCCGGTCAATAGACCAACATGCTGTTATTTCTCCTATGCTTCACAAGACCTTTTTTTTTTAACCCCATTTCCACCTGTTCCTGTTACCTTGGATTTCAGCCCCAAGGCTTGCTCCAGCCTCCTTGTGCCCTTGAATACACCTGCAAGCTCCCCCCTCCAGGCCTTCGCACTTGCTGTCTCTTCTCCGAAATATTGATGGACAAGGCTCACTCCCTTGCCTCATTCTGGGCTTAACCCACGTGCCGCCCACCTCAGTGAGGTCCTTTTTTTTAAAATATATTTTTATTAATTTCAGAGAGGAAGGTGAGAGGGAGAGAGAGAGATAGAAACATCAATGATAGAGAATCATTGATTGGCTGCCCCTGCACGCCCCCTACTGGGGATTGAGCCTGCAATGTGGGCATGTGCCTTTGATCAGAATCGAACCCGGGACCTTTCAGTCCACATGCCAATGTTCTATCCACTGAGCCAAACCAGCTAGGGCTCAGTGAGGTCTTTTTGCCACCCTGTGGACAATCACACGCCCCGTCCACTCTTATCCCCTCGTATACCCTTCCCCTGTATTATTTTCCCTGCAGCTTTCATCACCTAACGTTTGTCTATAGCACAGATTTCAGGGTACACGTCATTTTCACATTTTATCATCTCTGAAGGTAAGATGTAATTTATACTAGATGGCGGTTCCTCTCTATTCAGTTGATTTGTTGTAGTTTGTTTTATTCTTAAGGGATCTATTTACATGATTCAAAGAAAAATTGTTTAGAAAGGTTTACTATAGAGAAATCCTCCTCTCTTTATCCTGTCCACCCAAGTCCCACCACCTACTATATAGGTAACCACATTTATTGGCTTCTTTTTTCTCTTTCCATTATTTCTTTTATATATATATATATATATTTTATTGATTTCAGAGAGGAAGGGAGAGGGAGAAAGAGATAGAAACATCAACGATGAGAGAAAGTCACTGATCAGCTGCCTCCTGCACGCTCCACACTGGGGATCGAGCCCACAACCCAGGCATGTGCCCTGACCGGGAATCGAACCATGACCTCCTGGTTCATAGGTCGACGCTCAACCACTGAGCCACACGGGCCGGGCTCCATTTTTTCTTGTTGTACATAGGATCATGTGATCATGTTCACTCCCCCTTGTACCTCAAATATTTCTTATAGAAAATGTGGCACACTATGTATTTTGTTCTGCATTATCCTATTTTTCTCTTTAACAATCTAGCCGGGGGATCTCTCCATTTCAGTACCTAGAGATAAACATTTAATAAGCTTTTGGCAAATGAGCAAACCAGTGAATGGATAATTCGTGAATGCATGATTGTTGGAAATGATCAACAACTAGCCCTCCCTTCCGCCCCGGAAGCTTCTGTCCCACCCGGAGTGATGTTTTCCATACGGGAGCCAAATTCCCCAGCTCTCCTTGTGGGCCCTGCTCCTAACTCTCCCTTTTCCCTCCTCAACAGGGAGGCGCCCAGATCAGCTTGGCTGAGGTGTGCCGGTCTGGGGAGAGGTCGACTCGCTGGTACAACCTCCTGAGCTACAAATACTTGAAGCAACAGAGCAGGGAATCCAAGCCAGGGGGAGCCCGAGCCCCCACCCCCGGGCCTGAGAGCACGGTGAGCGGGGCCCCCTCCAGCACAGGCAGCCCCTGGAGGGAGTGGCCTCTCCCAGGAGGGGGGGTGGTGGGAGAGGGGACAGGGTAGGAGAGATCTCCCCCACCTGCAGCTTTCTCCTTCCCGATTGTGCCCTCCCCTCTGCTTTCCTTGCCCTGATACAACTTGTGTGGTGAACACCTTCACTCACCACATTTTAAAGATGAATTGGGGAAGAAAAGAAAGAACTGTGCAAGGTACAAAATTAGCCTTTATTGAGACCCTACTATGTGCCTAGTGGAGGCTTTCTGTAAGAGGCAGAGGGAAACCATGGGAAGAACAGCCAGGAGACTGGGGTGAGGGGTTTCTTTCTCTCTCTTTTTTTTTTTTTGAGTATATTTTTATTGGTTTCAGAGAGGACGGGAAAAGGGGAGAGGACAGAAACATCAATGATGAGAGAGAACCATTGATGGGCTGCCTTCTGCACACCCCACACTGGGGATCGAGCCCGCAACCCAGGCATGTGTCCTGACTGGGGAATTGAACCTGACCTCCTGGTTCATAGGTTGACACTCAACCACTGAGCCACGCCAGGGCAAGAGACTGAAGCTTTCTTAGTTGGGTGACGGTGGTCCGTCATTTCACCTGTCAGCTTCTACACTTGTGATCTGGGTCAGAGAAGGTTGTTAGGAAGCTTTGGAGAAGTGCCTGTAAAGAGCGCTTGATCAGTGATGTCTGTTTTGTTATTAGTTTTTCTTGAAAAATCTCACATTTGCCTATTTTTTTTTTTAGTTAAAAAATACGTATTTTCATTTTAGTGCAGTACACTTTCACCTCTGAACTGTCCTTAAACTCTTTCCTGCCCTTGGAAAGCCCACATCCGCTGGCCACGTAGACGGGCCAGGGCTCTGTTGAGCAATGAAGTTGCCCTTGAACACAGAGTGATGGGGTCCTAATGGGATCCCCTGAGAGCATGTTAGGGATCCTGCTTCCTCCCTCCATCAGTACTTGGTTACTTTGGGCAGTCACTGCCTAGAATTTCAGTGGACGGGATGGGCTAGGTCACCCAGGTAAGGAGGAGGGTCAGAATTAAATCTGTTTACTTCTCCTCCTCCTCATCATCATCATTTTTTGTCATCATCATCATTTTCTGTACTTCCTTTTTTGTCAGGCACTGTCCTGATTATGTACAGTTTACCAAGGTTCAGAGAGGTTACCTAAGGGCAAACATCTAATAAGCAACAAAGCTATATCGCAAACCCATGTCTCCCACATTCCAAACATGTGACCGTGAGCTGGCAAAGGTCTTAACAACAAGACCCCTCTTTTCTAGAGCCTGTTCTTGGATAAGTCACATTAGCCTGAGGCACATTCGTTTTCTCTTTCCCTTTCCTCAAGGGAATAATCATAATCTCTCCCAGCCAGGATGGCTGCAAAGGTTCAGTTAGATGCTACTTGTAAGCCATTTACCAGTGCCTGGCACATACCAGGCCTTCAGCTGATTTTAGTTCCTCTTTCCTTCCCCAAAAGACAATCTGGCTTTATACTACCAACCGCATCTGCAATTAACCAGGTGCTCAGAAAAGGTCAGTTTGGCTTTGCTGTTAGCAGACACTGAGTGCCTTTATGTGCTAGGCACTCTTGCGTACCTTATGCGTATAATCTTCATAACAACCCTTTGTCACAGGTTATTAGGAAACGGAGTCTGAGGGGTTAAATAATTTAACTCACACCAGCTTTTTCACTGTAGAGACCATTCAGTATAGATGTTCTTCCTCCAGGAAGCCTTCCCTGAATGCACCCCCCCCCCCCCCCCCCAAGCTGACTTTGCCGTTGCTTTTCTGTTCCCAACCATCAATCCTTAACGTCTGGCATGGTCCCTATCACATTGCTTTGTAATCGATGGTTCCTTTGATGGTCTCCCTGGCTGTACTGTCATCTCCTTACAACCAGGGGCCTATAATTCGGTCTCCCTCAACTACGGAACGGGGGCTGTCTTCCAAAACTGTCCACACACAGGGCTATTTGCAGGAGAACTGCAGGGAGAAGAGCCAACGTATTTCCAACGTATGTGACCTGGGGGCAAGCTGCTGACCCACTCGGTGCACTGGGAGGGCCTCACCCTGAGAAGCTCCGATTCTTGCCAGGAGGGGCGGCGTCCACAGTGTGCCAGTGAACCCATCGGCCTTTGTCTCCACAGGACGCCGTGTCTGCTCTGCTGGAACAGACAGCGGTGGAGCTGGAGAAGAGGCAGGAGGGAAGGAGCAGCACCCAGGACCTGGGAGACAGCTGGTAAGCAGGAGTGCCCTTGGGCCTCGGGAACTGATCTGGCTTGGACGTGGGCCCAGGGATGAGCTCCCTGAAGGCGGGTGCCACCAGGAGAGTGTCCCCCAGGAAGACTCAGAACCTGCTTCCTCACGGGCTCTGTCCAGGCAGCAAGGCAGTATGTAGTCCGGTACAGGGGTTCCCAAACCCCCGTTCTGATTTGTCATTTGTGTTCGATGAAGCACTCATGC